TTTTCCATTGCTTGTGGGAAGGCAGCATAAAAAATGAATAAGTGAAAAGCAACTTCAGCCAATTAGGTAGAGGTGGGGTTTGCTGTAATGGGTTTTTGCTCTGAGCTATAAATGGAAGAGTGTAAAGAAAACTGGACTGCTGGGTTAGCATAGCACAAGCTATTCATTCAAGCATTGTTGACTCCTTTTACCTTTACTTTTGTATTTGTGGAGGAAAGCAACCAGTGGGTGTTCACTGACGCATTTTTATTAGACGAGCTTCAAGTTCGCTGCAACAGCTAATCAGCAATCATAAAGGACTCCAGTACAGTCAGTCTGACTGATAATCAACTAAAATGTAGTTGTAACTAGGGATGGGTACCTTTGAAATTTGAATCGATTCAGTACTAATTCCCTGTACCTAGAAATCGATACCGGTACTTAACGGTACCAATTTTAGATACTTTTGAGTGTTTAATATTTTAATTCTCTTTTATAATTAAATATATATTTTTCTCAATATATAACAATATTTGATACATATTACGATAAATAGCATTCAACTGTTTGTATTTTAACATTGTCCTTGTAGTTTTATAAGCTGATAATTAAACTGAAGCAAACATCTTTACTGTGAACTAAATTGACTGTGTATCTTCATTCCTTTTGCCGTCCTTTTTCATTTGATTTTTCCTACTGGGAAGTTAGAATTTAGCTGATAACAATGATAGCAATGGAGCTAACATATCAAGCTAACGTTATCTTAAACAGTTTATTTAGCTGCTGGAGCAGATTCAAACGATGATGCCTCACACTTAGATCGTTATCACTGGTTTCATCTTCACCCAATCACCCGTCGCATTTAGTAAAGTGAAGCCAAACTTTAGAGCATGTTCATGTTCTTCTAGTCAGAAATTCGAAGTTCCGAGGAGAAAGCGAACGCACCATTAGCGAAATGGAAGCTAACATATCAAGCTAACGTTATCTTAAACATTTTTTTTACCTACCGGAGTAGATTAAGATGAGGATGTCTCCCTTAGATCGTTGTCGCTGGTTTCATCATCACCCAGTTACCCATCACATTTAGTAAAGTGCGTACATTCTTTCTGCCATGCTGCTCTGTTTATAACTGGCTCGCAGCGAGCGACAACATAACGCTCTTGGGCATGCACAGCTGTCTTGGCAAGTTCTCGTCATGAAGGACGGGTACCAAAATGAGGCACCGTTTGAAATGATGTGAATCGGTACTTGGTCGGTACCTTAAAAAGTACTGAATTTAGTACCCATCCCTAGTTGTAACTGACCAGAACGAAAGAAAATATTTTCTATAGCGCCTCTCAAGGTAAGAATCATCAGGCACTTAACAAAAAATAATAATTAAAGTATAGAAAAGATTTCAAAAAATGAAAAATATGTTCTTGTTCACGAGTGAGGGTAGGAGGGATCGGGAGATCGACAGGCGGATTGGTTCGGCGTCTGCAGTGATGCGGACGCTGAGCCGATCTGTCGTGGTGAAGAGGGAGCTGAGCCAGAAAGCCAGGCTCTCGATTTACCGGTCGATCTACGTCCCAATCCTCACCTATGGTCATGAGCTTTGGGTAATGACCGAAAGAACGAGATCGCGGATACAAGCGGCCGAAATGAGTTTCCTCCGTAGGGTGGCCGGGCTCAGCCTTAGAGATAGGGTGAGGAGCTCGGACATTCGGGAGGGACTCGGAGTAGAACCGCTGCTCCTCCGGATCGAAAGGAGCCAGTTGAGGTGGTTTGGGCATCTGGTCAGGATGCCTCCTGGACGCCTCCCCGGGGAGGTGTTTCGGGCATGTCCTGCCGGCAGGAGGCCCCCGGGTCGACCCAGGACACGTTGGAGAGGTTACATCTCCAATCTGGTCCGGGAACGCCTTGGGGTCCTGCCGGAGGAGCTGGTGGAGAAGGCCGGGGAGAGGATGGCCTGGAGCTCCCTAATTGGGATGCTGCCCCCGCGACCCGGACCCGGATAAGCGGAGGAAGACGAAGACGAAGACGAAGACGAAGAAAAATATGTTTGTAATTTGAGAAAAAATGTGATTAAAAATGATGTAAGGAAAGGGAGAAAGAAACTGAAAAGGAAAGAGGGAGATCAGTAGCCTGGCAAGCTCCATTGACAGCGCTCGGTCGTAGAGCGGGTTCTATCATTGTCTTTCAAACGATTTCCACATGCTAGTGGACAATGAACAACGTGACGTACTCACCGCAACAGATGTCAGTAAATGAGGCAGTTCGCAATTGAAAAGGGCAAAAATACATCCTTTTTTTCTAAATAAATAACTTTAATACATTTTTCTGCTCCTGATTCTAATAAAGCCAAGCCCAAATAATCCAAAACAGATGTGAAAGCCGTTTCAAACTTCTTCTTCTTCAATGGGAAAATGGCAGGCTAGACGCCCACGTGGCGTATTGCTGCCGCAACCGCACTACTCACTGCCAATAGGTGTCACAGCCTGTCATAAACCCCCGTCTCTCGTTAAAAAGCACAGCAGCGCCCTCACCCTACGTCGATCCTCCACTCCCATCAAGGTACGCAGGGAAAAACCAGCAAGGCCTGTAGGCCCTAACCTCCTAAAATAGGTCCCCCGGTCACGGTCGTACCTCCCACAATGCAGCAGAACATGAGTCACCGTCTCCAGCTCCCCACGGTCACACCTCCCATCTCGGTCTTCCCCACAAGCCGCCACGAAGACTACAATGGCCCAACCTTAACCGAGTCAGGATCAGGACCACCGAGTCCCTCCTCCCAAAATCCAGGTCCAACCCACATCCACCCACCATCCGGTGCAACTCATAAAACCCCCTGCCCACCACCCCACCATTCCAGGAGGCCTGCCACAGCTTCAAGACCTCCCTGCCTATTGCAGAACAATACTCAGGGGATCCCATATCGACCTCCAACCCCAACCCTTCTTAAGCGCTGCCTTGGCCACTGAGTCCACCTGTTCGTTGCCCACCAGCCCTACATGTGCGGGGACCCAAACAAAACAAACCTCACTACCACAAGCCTGCGGCTCATGGAGCAATACCCTGGCTAAAGACACCAGATCCGGTCTAGAGCTGAATCCCGCCCCCGACTGTGAGAGCATATACATCTGTCTTGTTAGAATTTTGGTCCGACTGAAACAACTAAATGGTTAACACAAAAATTCTTCATATTTATGTGTCTAAAATTCTAAACATTTCCTCTGAGCATGTTAGTGAAATGCAAACAAACCCAGCTACAGACATGGTTCACATTTGAAGCTAAGAGGAAACAAATTCAGCATGTGTGAGTGTTGATGTTTTCACACCAAGGCCACGGGTCTTGACTCCTATTCAGAATGATCAAAGGAAGAACATTGATGAATGTCTTTCCTTAGATTGAAAGAGGCATCTTAAGTGGCAGCAGGGTGTAACTGCAGGGCAGTCTCCATTGCTCAGCCTCTCTTCTTTTCTGCAGGTTCTCAGTTGGGTCCTTTAGCTTCTCCATCTGTGCTTACTGATGCCTTAACGTCCCTGCCCTTTGTGTCACATGATTCCCTCGGTTGTTTCACGCTGTCACTGCGCGTGTGTTTGCTCACTTGGAAGGTGAAACATGGAGGAGCCTGAGAGACAGAGACTCAGATCGGTTCATGCAGATTGACGGGTTGTTATGAGCTTGTTTTTTTAGAAGTAGGTGAGCTATAAGACCACTTCTGGGGTTTACTGCTTATAGCACTGGTTTCAGATCCTGGCCCTAATGGCCCACCATCCGGTATGCTTACATGTTCCTTCAACACACCTGATTAGAATCAATGGGTGAGAAGCGCAACAAGAGGACCCGCTGAAAAGTTAATTTCACCCAGAATATATCAAATATAAATATTTTGAAATGGGCTACAATCCTTCTGGTCCCTCCTAAAGCTTGTTATCACATGGCTGATTCACAGAAATCTGATTAGGGTGCCTTCTGCTCTCTGGAGGTTCACATCTCACTGGGAGGGCACTCGGGATTTATAGTGATTAGATATTTCCTGTGGCCTGGGAATCCCCCAGAGGGACCTGGAGTGTCACTGGGAAGAGGGATGTCCTGGACTTGTTATTTGCATGCTTGTTGCCATCATGCTCTATCCACGACCCTGATGCTCTGCTACAGCTGTGATAGGTGATCATTTCCTTTATACGGATGTTTTGTGTTTGCTCAAAACAATCCACAACATCTCGATTTCTTTGGAACGTTTTGTTCCCATCATGCATTTGGAGACCTCACCAAGACCCTCAAAGTCTTGAACTGTTCTGCCTCTATCTGAGCAGTAGCCGTGGTTCTCCTGCTCCCAGCAGACTGAGATAGATCCAAACCTAAAGGGAGTGCTGAAGGAAGTTTATTGACTTTTGACATGTCTCAGACAAGTCTTCTTCAGCATCGCTCAAAGAGAGCTTCACTGTGTGTGTGTGTGTGTGTGCGTGTGTGTGTGTGTGTGTGTGTGTGTGTGTGCGCGTGTGTGTGTGTGTGCGTGTGTGTGTGTGTGTGTGTGTGTGTGTGTGTGTGTGTGTGTGTGTGTGTGTGTGTGTGTGTGTTTACTTTTACATTTAAGGATTTCGTGGAGGAATCATTGCATGTGTGTATTGTAGGTGTGTTATGATACGTCAGCTGACTTCTGATCAGATCTCAGATGGTCTGCTTCCTGTTACTGTTGCAGTAAATAGAATTTCTCCCCTAAATCACATTTTCTGTCCTCTTCCTCTCACTAGACTTCTCTTTAGTTGCCCGAAGCAGCACGGCTATCAGCGAGCGCTCCCACGTTTCATCGCAGTGCTACTCTCTTTAATGCCACACCTTTATGACTAGACTGTCTCACCCCTCCTTTATCTCCCCTCGATGTCTCTCCATCACCTCCTGGACGGCTTTCCAAAATTCATTTCTTCCCCATCATCCCTCTCTAAATGAGCTTTCTCTGGTTTCATGTTTGCTCTCACCGCTCTAATCCATTCCCTCGGCTCTTCCTCCTTCCCTTCCCCCTTTTCCTCTCCTGCAGAGCCAGATTGGGCGTCGCTGACTTTGGGTGTGTTTGTTTGCCAGGCCTGCTCCCTCCTTCACCGGAGCATCCCTCACATCAGCCGGGTCAAGTCCGTCCAGGACACGTGGGAAACCAGTGAGGTGGAGGTATGGTGGCACTACAGTAATGCGGATGCTTCGTGTTGGATCAGCTCCTGCTTCTTATTATGAAAAAGACAGACAGTGTTGCTTTTTGGACAAACGTACCTGTTCTTGCACATTTTGTCGTATAGAGTTCCACGCTCATTATGGCACCTGAAGAGATGGAGAAGTCGAGCTGATGCTTTGCTAAATTATGTTACACCAAACAGATCCCGTGTTAAATCAGGATCCGAGCTCATTTAGACCCAGCTTGTTCGGTTTCTACTGATCGCTCTGGCTTCGGCACCAAAAGCTGGTGCCAACTCTTTGTTCAGCCAAAGAACAGGAGCGGGAGACATGCTTGTAGAGATCAGCATGTTTTATGTTTAAAATCTCAGATTTTCTCTTTTGCGATGCATGATTAAGCTTTAATGTGAATAAGTAGTAAAAGAAGGATTTGAATATCATGAGTTCACTATCTCATCTTCCTGAAGTTTAGATGATTTAACCCTCCCACTGTCCTAATGGGTGTGACCCCGTGAGGAAAGTTGACCATTGAGCAGGATTGATGGCTTATCCCTTGAGGTCCATGTTGCAGGGATGAGGTGGTGCTCACTCCTCACCCCTGCCACATGGACCCAAGGGATAAACCATGAATCCTGCTCAATGGTCAACTTTCCTCACGGGGTCACACCCATTAGGACAGTGGGAGGGTTAATTGTCCATTAACGTAGTTAATAGGTCAGAAAAATGCCTAGAGCTGTTTCAAACTGACTTTATAAACAGTTTACAGTTTATAATGACCAGTGGGTGTTGATACATGAGATCCTTGAATGAATGAATGAATGAACGAACGAATGACTTGTATTCGTATAGCGCCTTCTATAGGGTTCTACACCCCCCAGGCGCTTTACAACACCGTCAGTCATCCACTCATTCACACACACACTGGTGGTGATGCGCTACAGTGTAGCCACAGCTGTCCTGGGGCGCAGTGACAGAGGCAAGGCTGCTGAAATCTGGTGCCACCAGTTCCTCCGACCACCACCAGCAGGCAAGGAGGGACACAACATTCTCAGGCGGCAGCCGGGATATAACCTGCAACCTTCCGTTTACTGGACAACCTGAGCTATTGCTGTCCATGTGGCTCTCATTTACAGTAGCTCATTTACAAAATTCAATCTGAGATTATCACAGCATTTAAAACTGTTGTTTAGAACACAGTTTGCAAAGTTAACGGATGGAATGTAGATAAAGTGTCTCCCCACATAGTGATCATCCACAGAAACTCAGAATACCACACAGGAAGGATGAAATATTTACTGGATGTATGTCGTCAATGTCAGTGTATTTATTTATTTATAAAGCACTTTAAAAATAACAAAGCAGCACCAAAAGGCTTTGCAGTGAAAGTCAAGATAGCAATAATTAAAACACGAAGACAAACAGCAATAGAACAAGGGCTGAAATTTAAAGATGGGTGATAATTCAGTAGGTAATAACGGGAACTGAATGGTTAACACAAGAGTAAAGTATCAAAGTGCCGGACTAAGTTAGTACTTTGATGATGGCCATAGCTCGACTTTGGTGTGCACCGGCTGCTAAAAGAAAACGTATTCCCGTGTTTGCAGCATATCAGAAATTTTGACTGTTTTCTATTGGGGATTTTATCTATCTGACTTGTTCAGTGGAAGATGCAGTTGCTAGGCAACCAATACAGAGTCCAGGAAGTTAGTGGTATCAATCTTTCAGTGAGGAAGCAAATATGCTTATTTCCCAAAGTGCTGAGCCATTTCTTCAGAATCTCAGTTTGATGAAATCCTCAGTGGTTTGCATCCTCTCTGCTTACGTTTCTGTGTGTGTGAGCTAAAACTGCACACAGCACCATGTTGGATACATACAGAGAAAAAAACATGAAATAATGTCTACGGAAACTACATGAGACTAAAATGTCACTATTGTTTCCATAGAAACAAGCTAGCCGGGGAACAAAAAGCACATATTTGCGAGATGATTACAGAGCACAATGCAGCACTTCACAGCGTACTCACACTGAGCTTTATTTTTGTCTACATTAAAGAGATTATTGAAATTATCTGTTAATGGAAAGGTTCTGAATGGGGATGTTTGGATCTGGATTGGAGTTTAACATGAAATAAAGTTTAACGAATAGGAGTAACTTGATCAGATTGCCACACTTCCTTCAGTCCGTGTGTTTTTGATTGCCTTTCAAAAATGGGTGAGCAATATTCCAACGTAACATTATGAGTGGTTTGAGTGTGGCGATGATCTGCCATTAGGTTTCATGAAATGAAAATTAAAATAAATTAAAATAAATCAATTGATTACAGTTTGAATTCAATTCACATTTAAAGTATTATAAATTAAATGAAATATACTGTGCATGTGGTAAAAACAGCTGTAGTTCTTTTGGCTGATAAGCAAAAACCAAGCCTGGACTGAAAAGGACACAGCGAGGTTCAAAACGCACTCAGCAGTGTCTCCGACTAGAATACCACCCATGGGAATCACACGGAGCATGTGCAACAAGATCTAGAGACAAACAGGGGCACAGACACACTGAAAAGGGGCTTTTGTGAGATTGTGGAAAGTGCATGTTGTGATTCTGCAACATGGTAATTTCATGTTCTTACAACATGCATTTAACATGTTATAACAACATGAAATGGCTGTACCCAGATATTGCGTAAACATGGTGCGGCGGGCGTACATGCATCATTTACCCAAACAAAGCTATTCAGTCAAACATGGCAGACAAAGAGATATAATTCCTCCCACTGGTCGGACTTTTGTTAAGCATATTTCTGCGCACACGAAGACGCATCAGAGACCTGGATGATGAAACTCAATGGTTAAAGGAATCACGGAAGCGGTGTGAAACGCTCCGTCGGTCTTACGGACAAAGTCCCGAACGTTTCCGTTTTTCATGGCCTGTCTGAAGGGGGCTTAATGAACTTTTATTACGGCCATTAAAGAAATGTTACACGATCTCAATGAGATTAGACAACAAGAGTTCACATTTTAAAAAGACAGTGTTCACAGATTTATGAGGCAGATTATCTGCTTAGTGGTGGTTCAAACACAAATTGGTTGTATTCTACTAGAATCGATATGCACTGATATGAAATGTTTAGGCCTATTCACGGTAAGAAATACTTCAAAAATTCAGACATCAGTTTAAATCCTGTGTAGACACCCTCTAGATATACTTAATCTAGTTGGACGGAGAGGCTATAAAAAGCGCAGAAGAGCTGCAATGGGAACCCAAGGGTCTTATAAAAGGTCAGTGAGAGTGCATAAGGGGTTTTCAGGAGAGTTGATGCTTGGAAAATGAACTGAATATATTGCTGGAAACTGCTTCACAGAGTGTAGATGTCATAAATGAAAATAATGAAGGCCACTGTGTTTTGTCCTCATTCTGCCAGCTTTGCTTGGACTGAAGTTTAAACGCACCACCACAAGAGAATTTACCCTTCACATTTTGTGGAAGTTTCCATAAATATTTCTATTATTTTAGCGCTGACTTAAAAATTTAACATCAAAGCATCACCTGTTCTAATATTATCTATCACGCTGATAAACATTTCCCATCATTGGCAGATAAGTCACTCGTAATTTGAGGTCTGTTTGTGTAAAATTAATGCTGTGGGGAGATTTCCTGCTGCTTTGACCTTCACAGTAGAACGGTACAGCACTGCATCCCTCTCCAAGCCCTTCAGAGGGTGAGGGGAGGCATGCTGTGGGATTCATCCGGCTGGTTTGGGCTCAGGAATTATCCTTGGGTAAAGCACACAGTGGAGGAAATGAGGGCGGAACACAGACATGTTCCACTGCAGTGCAGGCTTTTTTCCCCCTGAGTGAACATGCTTAGTTGAGATTTTTATGCTCTAAACCTGTTTTTTTATTCTCTGATGAATGCTTTTGTAGTTGTGCTGCATTATTGTTGAGATTTTGTCACCTTGAAAAACATCACACCTCTGCAAAATATGCATAGACTACATAGACGGTTTCAGATTAATTTAGGGACAGTCTGAAATAATGCCTTGTGAATAGTTGTCAGTGGGAAAAAAAGCTCTGGCGCTCCTGTTTCAGGAAGTAGATGTTAGCCAGATGTGTGGGGGTGCTAAAAATGGCAAGATTTGGAGTCTTATTCATTAGAACTCAGGATATGCGAACATCTTGCCTTTGATTGGCTAACAGCAACACAACTCTTCCGCTGCCTCTGTTTATTCTTTTTTTCTTGGAGAAAAGATGCAACGCTGATGTTTTATCTCCACAAATAACACAAACCCGACTTATTCTGCCATGTGGTGGATCTGCTAATGCTAACAGTTAGCTTCTACTTGCTGGGACATGCTCTGCACTACCCCACCCCCCCACCCCCATGGTGAATCCATGAATTTTACAGTGTGAAGTAAAGCTGACTGGCTTTCTCTGACCCCTTCTATTTTCTTTCAGCTGCTAATGCAAGAAACAGGGGTAGAAGACTATTTTCATGTTCAGCCTGCATGTAAAATTCAGGGTTACTGAATAAAATAAAAAGTATTATGTGTCTCTCAGTGAATCTTTAATGACTTCAGTTTTGTTAGAATTAGATTTTTCTTTGTTCTTGCTTTTATTGTGAAATGTCGCTATAAAGAGGTAGCAGTCTGTTTTGACAGCAGTTGTTAGTTTGACAGCTTCTACAGAAGTGTAAATATGTTAACATTAGGTGTTTGTTTGGTCTTTCTTACAGTTAATGGCTGCAGTAGGAAACAATGCAGCCAAGGCCAAATATGAGCAGAAGGTCCCTGCATTCTACTACAGACCAACCCACTCCGACTGCAAGTAACTGTGCCTCCTTTTGATTTTATTTAAGAATAAAACTATGTAGTATATTATTTATTCTCTGTTGTTAAACACTAAAGTGCTGATGTTCATGTTTCCGTTTCTGTTTTTGAGAACGACATAACATTATTTGAATTTAAACTAGTCCTGAAACCAGTAACCAGGGGGTGACGTGATTGCTTTAGCTTCAAATTCTGAGTTTTATACCCAGATCTATTTTATATACACCTTGTTAGTAACAGGTCAGACTAACCCTAACCCTCAGAACCACCTTAATGCTTTGTGTCATGCATCTAACAAGGTGTTGTAAACCTTCCTTAGAGGTTCTGGTGTATACTGACATGACAGCATCACACACTTACATCCATGATGGGAATCTGCTGTAGGTCCTGTACTGGACTGAAATCTGGAGACTGTGGTGACTGCTGAAGTCCAGGAAAATCATAGTCATGTTCAATTTGTTGTTTTGTGAACTCAGCTGACTTTCACCAAAATGCAGCAGATGTTTTACACACTTTTTATCCACCTAACTTGTCTCCACGTTTTGGTCCTCCACCACCTCCCTCACCCATGGTATCCCACAAGGTTCTGTGCTGGGATCTCTACTCTTCCTCATTTATCTGCTCCCGCTCCAGCACAAGCTGAGCTCTTTTAACCCTCTCAGGCTCAGAATACGTTTTGATAACAGGACAAACAACTAAGACCTTCAGGGGAACTTCTGAGTTAAAAAATACTCATGAAATATGTATGTGGAGTAACCGGGTAGGTAGATTTTAACTGTTGCAAATCTGCAACGCCTGCCTCCAGAGGGTTAAAAGAATCTCCTACCATCTTTATGCAGATGACATCCAACTGTACATCTCCTTTAAGCCCCATGAGATGTCTAAGCTGCAGCTGTTACACACCTGCTTAGACTCTATCAAAACCTGGATGGTGGGAGCTTTCTACAGCTGAATGAAGATAAGACTGAGATCCTCATCTGTGCCCCAGACAAGCTGGTTCCCAAAGTCAGAGACTCTCTTGGTCAGCTTGCTTCTCACACAAAACCTTCTGTCAGGAATCTTGGTGTGACCTTTGACCCAGCTCTCACCCTGGATTCTCATGTCAGTTCTCTTGGTCGCTCTTCCTTCTTCCATCTCAGGAACGTTGCTAAGCTGAGTCCCATTTTGTCCCGCTCTGAACTTGAGACAGTTCTCCACACCTTCATCTCCTCACGCTTAGACTACTGTAACTCTCTTTTCACGGTTCTGAGCAGAACCTCCCTCAACCATCTACAGGTGGTTCAGAATGCCTGTGCTCGGCTTCTGACCAAGTCCTCCAAATACACCCACATCACCCCGCTTCTCCTCCAGCTTCATTGGCTGCCAGTTAACTCCAGGGTGTTACGATCTGCCCCTGCCCTCCTGACTGTCTCTCTCCTGCCCTGATCAGTCCGTATTGTTCTCACCTGTCCCTCGTTAACCTGTCCATGTTTTCCTAATTAGCCTTGTGTATTTATACCAGCTGTTTTGCTCCTGTCCTTTGTCGGATCATTGTATGTGCATGTCTCGTTTTGTCCTGTCACTCCCGTTGCTATTAAATCCATTTTTATTTCATCCGTGCCTGCTCTTCTGCCTCCTGGAACCCTCCACCACACTTGGTCCACCATCTCCACCCTCACAACATGACAGAATGATCCGACCAAACCTGGACCTGTGGTGAGCTAACACCTGTTTTTCTGGAGGATTATTTTTTCTTTTTTTTTCCCCTTTTCAGCGGAGGGAGATTCCGGCCTGGAGTTGTGTTTCTCGGCGCATCCTACCTGTTCTCGGGGTGGTCGAGCCCTCTGGGTGATCCTGGCGCATCCTATCAGTTTCCGGGGTGGTCAAGGTCTTTTCTCCTCTCCTGCTGTTCTGCCCCGTCCTGTTTTTTACGGAAGCTGCTGTTTCCTGGAGTTTTGATGGAGGTAAAAACCCCTACGCACACCATCATTCTCCGGGGTGGTAGGGCTGGTCTTCCTGCTCCGTGGTCTGCTTCCCTTCACCCGAGCCTGCCTGTGGATCCTGTCGAGTCATGGTGTGCACCTGCTCAGAACTGTGGTCGAGTACCTGCTACTACTCCTGGTTCCCTCGTGTCGCTCCTGCTGTTTCGTCCCACTTCCTGGTCCACGCCTGCAGGGTCTATGCCTGCAGGTCCTTCATGCTGCAGTTCCTGCTGGGTCCTATGCCTGCTGCTGCAGTTCCTGCTGGGTCCCACGCCTGCTGCTGCAGTTTGTTTCGTGTTCCAGTCAAGTCTTCGTGGTCAAGTCTTCGTGGTCAAGTCTTCGTGTTCCTGGTCAAGTCTTCGTCGTCAAGTCTTTGTGTTCGAGTCAAGTCTCCATGGTCAAGTCAAGTCTTCGTGGTCAAGTCAAGTCTTCGTGGTCAAGTCTTCGTGTTCCTGGTCAAGTCTTCGTGTTCGAGTCAAGTCTTTGAGTCCCTGTTCGAGTCAAGTCTTCGAGTCCCTGTTCGAGTCAAGTCTTCGAGTCCCTGTTCAAGACAAGTGTTCCCATCCCTGTTCGAGTCAAGTGTTCCCAGTCCTGTCCCGAGTCAAGTCAAGTGTTCCCAGTCTCCTGTGTTGTGTGGCCTTGTGGGCGTCTGGTATCCGCCCCTTAAGGGGGGGGGGGGGTACTGTCACGATCTGTCCCTGCCCTCCTGACTGTCTCTCTCCTGCCCTGATTAGTCCGTATTGTTCTCACCTGACCCTCGTTAACCTGCCCATGTTTTCCTAATTAGCCTTGTGTATTTATACCACCTGTTTTGCTCCTGTCCTTTGTCGGATCATTGTATGTGCATGTCTCGTTTTGTCCTGTCACTCCCGTTGCTATTAAATCCATTTTTATTTCATCCGTGCCTGCTCTTCTGCCTCCTGGAACCCTCCACCACACTTGGTCCACTATCTCCACCCTCACAACATGACAGAATGATCCGACCAAACCTGGACCTGTGGTGAGCTAACACCTGTTTTTCTGGAGGATTATTTTTTCTTTTTTTTTCCCCTTTTCAGCGGAGGGAGATTCCGGCCTGGAGTTGTGTTTCTCGGCGCATCCTACCTGTTCTCGGGGTGGTCGAGCCCTCTGGGTGATCCTGGCGCATCCTATCAGTTTCCGGGGTGGTCAAGGTCTTTTCTCCTCTCCTGCTGTTCTGCCCCGTCCTGTTTTTTACGGAAACTGCTGTTTCCTGGAGTTTTGATGGAGGTAAAAACCCCTACGCACACCATCATTCTCCGGGGTGGTAGGGCTGGTCTTCCTGCTCCGTGGTCTGCTTCCCTTCACCCGAGCCTGCCTGTGTATCCTGTCGAGTCATGGTGTGCACCTGCTCAGAACTGTGGTCGAGTACCTGCTACTACTCCTGGTTCCCTCGTGTCGCTCCTGCTGTTTCGTCCCACTTCCTGGTCCACGCCTGCAGGATCTATGCCTGCAGGTCCTTCATGCTGCAGTTCCTGCTGGGTCCCACGCCTGCTGCTGCAGTTTGTTTCGTGTTCCAGTCAAGTCTTCGTGGTCAAGTCTTCGTGTTCCTGGTCAAGTCTTCGTCGTCAAGTCTTTGTGTTCGAGTCAAGTCTTCATGGTCAAGTCTTCGTGGTCAAGTCAAGTCTTCGTGGTCAAGTCTTCGTGTTCCTGGTCAAGTCTTCGTGGTCAAGTCTTCGTGTTCGAGTCAAGTCTTTGAGTCCCTGTTCGAGTCAAGTCTTCGAGTCCCTGTTCGAGTCAAGTCTTCGAGTCCCTGTTCAAGTCAAGTGTTCCCATCCCTGTTCGAGTCAAGTGTTCCGAGTCCTGTCCCGAGTCAAGTCAAGTTTTCCCAGTCTCCTGTGTTGTGTGGCCTTGTGGGCGTCTGGTATCCGCCCCTTAAAGGGGGAGGGGGGGGGGGGGGTACTGTCACGATCTGCCCCTGCCCTCCTGACTGTCTCTCTCCTGCCCTGATTAGTCCGTATTGTTCTCACCTGACCCTCGTTAACCTGCCCATGTTTTCCTAATTAGCCTTGTGTATTTATACCACCTGTTTTGCTCCTGTCCTTTGTCGGACCATTGTATGTGCATGTCTCGTTTTGTCCTGTCACTCCCGTTGCTATTAAATCCATTTTTATTTCATCCGTGCCTGCTCTTCTGCCTCCTGGAACCCTCCACCACACTTGGTCCACCCTCACAACATGACACAGGGTTCATTTCAAGATCCTGGTTCTGGTCTATAGGGCCTTACATGGACAAGCACCATCTTATGTTGGTGATCTTCTTAGTCCCTACAACCCCAGCAGGTCCCTGAGGTCCAGTGATCAAAGCCTACTGGTTGTGCAGCACCAGGCTAAAGACCAAAGGTGACAGATCATCTGCTGCTGTGGCCCCCAGACTCTGGAACTCTCTCCCCCTGAGCCTGAGATCAGTGGACTCAGTGAACTCCTTTAAAAAGCAGCTTAAGACTCACCTGTTCAGGCTTTGGTGCGACCTTCTGTTGATTCTTCATCACTACCTTCTCTGCACGCTGGCGTTTCTGTCATTTCTGTATATTTTGTTTCCTTTTTTTTCAGTTGGAATTTTTTTTATCTTTTTTTTGTTGTTGTTTTTATTTAGCAATTTGTGTGGATGATGAAGGTCTCTATAAGGTCCTTACCACTCTGACTTGTAGTCACACATGCAAATAGAAACCACAGACAGGAAGAGGCTTAAAAGAGGAAACTAATACTGAGCAGTAGATCACACGTGTTGTTCATACTACTTCTACTTGATTCCTCTTCCTCTTGATGGGTTTAAAAGGTTTAAAATAACCAATCTAGACCAGACCATTTCCTGTTTAATTTTCTTTGCAAATTTCTAACCACGTATGATCTGGCAAGAAGGACAGCTGTATTACAAAAACTGGCCTGAAATACACTTTAATTTGCCTTCAGCGTTATTTAGTATGTAGATGAGGTGAGATTCTGATCTTTGAGAATGAGAAGGAGAGGTTTGTGTTTGGTCCAGTGGTAGACCTGCTGAGGCTACAATAGAGCGTGGCTTGACCGACCTGCAGAGCAAAATCTTTTAGCTATTGCTACCATGTGTCTAGATTTCCAGGCTATGAGGACAAACCTTCAGACATCAGTGTTAGCTTCCACAGTTTTCGACATCCAGGGATGTACAAGAATGTTAAAGTTTGATCAGTTTACTCTTTTCTCATCCGCATACAGAATAAAATCAGAATCAACAAACACACAAAACACTTTATATTTCATGTAAAAACTTGCTGAATCTGTGACAAAAGCTAACAGCTCATGTGTAGATCTATGTGATGTGTGTGCAGTTCACATTAAGCTAGCTGTGGTTCTTTTATTTTTTTGTCTCCAGGCTGCTGAGGGAGCAGTGGATCCGAGCCAAGTATGAACGAAACGAGTTTGAGTTCACCGAGAAGCAAGAGCCTTACTCTGCAGGTTGGTGGGATCACTGGTCTAAGAGCGCTCATCAGTTATGGTGTTCGTCCATGCAGCAAAGCTGGTTGTGACAATGTCTTCAGATGTCTTAGTTTCTTGTAGCGAGAGACGTCTTCATCTGGCTGGAAAGGTAAAGGAAGAACATTGCTTGTTGTTCCTGTTGAATGTGCTTATTTCCCATCTAAAAGGGAATTTGCTTGTTTGTTGTGTGAAGTGTTTGTTGTTAAGCTTTTAGTGAATCAAACCTTGAGAACTCCTTCAACAAACGCCACACAGTAGATACCACTTCCACAAACTCAATTACCCGGAAACATCCACCGACGTATTCGAACATTCGTTTTCATCCTTCTCCTAAGTGGTGGTGTGTACGTGTGCTGTTAAGAGCTTATTCAGACAATGACATCGTAATTGTCCCTGATGCTGGAGGATGGAAGGGGAGTCCATTTGATCTGTGTGTGTGTGTGTGTGTGTGTGTGTGTGTGTGTGTGTGTGTGTGTGTGTGTGTGTGTGTGTGTGTGAGTGTGTGCGTGCGTGTGTGTGTGTGTGTGTGTGTGTGTGTGTGTGTGTGTGTGTGTGTGTGTGTGTGTATGCGTGCTTTCGTGCGTGTGTGTGTGTGTGTGTGTGTGTGTGTGTGTGCACATGCTCCTCATTTTTGTTACCTCTTTTGGCTTTTTTGTGTTATATTCAGGGGGTTGCACCCTTTAGTTGTACACAGGTGCATGTGTGTGTGTGAACGGTATTCTTCTATGTGTGTCCATGCTTAAGTTACTCTGCTGGCTTCAATGACCTCACCCTTTTATTGATACAGTCAAGAACACACACACACACACAAGTGTAAGGGAATGAGTCATTTAATGCATATCTGCTCGCCTCATCCCTCAGCCGTGTGTGTGTGTGTGTGTGTGTGTGTGTGTGTGTGTGTGTGTGTGTGTGTGTGTGTGTGCGTGCGTGCATGTGTTTGTGTGTGTGTGTGTGCGTGTGTGCGTGTTTTCGTGTGTGTGTGTGTGCACTGTAACCTGGCCCTTCCAGTAGCCAACATTGATGGCATGTAAGGAAAGGAAGGAGGAAGAATGTCGATGGAGGGGGGGGGGGGGGGGGGGTATTGATTGATGAGGTAATGCCTGTAGGTGGCTGTTTCGTGGCAGAAAGTCTGTGATGTGGAGAGCCTGAGAATACGAGCAGTGTTTAATGACAGGATAGTTTTCTCTGTGGTACAGATTTTAAACAGTTCGTTTATGTAAAGCTCTCCATCAGCCCATGGGACTTACTGCGTGATAAACTCAGCTTACAGAATACCTACGTTGGGATGTACAACTAATAACAATGAAAACTTTAAACATCAGGTAGAGGTTTAAAGTTGAATTAAAGTATGTGCCCCCTAGATGGAGGCTATAGAAAATGTGTTAAGCCCCTCCCCCTTCTTTAAAGGTCAAGTCACCCCCTACAAAAGTCTTACTCCACTCCCACTTCCTGTTTAAAAAAATGCAACAAATGCTGTTCCCTAGCAGACCGAGAGGGTGAAGCCGCTCAAAAATACACACACACACAGAGGCTCACAGCACCAATGTGACATCATATGGTACCAGCTAATGTCAAAGGGTAGCTCTTAGTCAATAGCGATGGTAGATTTAAATTCAAATGTAGTGCAGAGTTTTTACCTGGAGAGGATGCAACGCTGACAGTTTTAGGCAGAATATTTAAATTTTAGCTAAGATGCACTAAAGTGCCAAATTATTGAATTATTGACCACACATACAGCACCATTAGACTCTCATTTATGTAGTTTAACAGCAAAAACAGTTGATTTGGGGGTGACTTGCTCTTTAAAGGGCCGGGGCTTTTTCTGACAACATGAATCCGACATTTTGTCAAGCTGTTATTTTACCTTTCAATATTCAAATTTCATATAAGCATAATGAGTTGTTGCAGGTGGGCAGGGCCTGCTTCTCTCAATCCAAAACTACAACCTGTGAAAACGATGGTAGGGATTCTATTTGGAACGGAAAAAGCGAGTGAGCTGAAACCTTGAGTGATTGGTGGAAGAAGTATATGTGTCAAGTGTTTTAATGTGTGTGTTGGATGTTGCAGACTTGTCGAAGAACCCTCCACTTTCAGTTTTCAAGGGGAAAAAATCTTCTGTAATCATTTTCTCACACATATTTCCATGCCGTTTGAAGAGAGGCACTCGGTTAGCATTTATTCTGAAGTGTTCAGCATCAAGCTCCTGCTCAGAATGTAAATCAGTCTATGTTTTAGTCTAGCTTCCTTCCATTCAAGGCATTAAAATAAACCCGATTAAAGACACAGCACCACAGAGGGAGACAGAAAAGCAGGCCGTGTGGGCGGAGACTTGCTTAAATAAGCTTATCTTACTGACTATAGATGGAGCTAACCATGACAGCACACGCATCAGTATCCCTGAGAGCTGACTCATTCTGTGTGTGTGTGTTTTCTCACTCCCACAGCTTCTTTGTGTAAATGAGATTCTTAATGATCTTTGATTTTGGCTCAAGAATCATCCTCTAGCCTCACCATGACTCTTGTGTTCGGTCCCCCGTCTCGTTGGAAGGATATTTACTGTCGTTCCTCCATCCACTCTGCGTTCCTTTCCCTCTGCAATCAGGGTACAGAGAGGGGTTTCTATGGAAACGAGGCAGAGACAACGGTCAATTCCTCAGCAGAAAGTTTGTCCTGACAGAGAGGGAGGGGGCGCTCAAATACTTCAACAAGCAGGATGTAAGCAAGCGAGATGCTGCCAGTTTAAATGGCTGCTAGTAATAATAAATAACAATAAACATTCACTCAGTGGTACTCAGCAGGCTTTTGTACCCCCCTCCCCCCAACCCCGTTAAGGCCAGAGATCCAAAGGCGGTGATTAAAATTGAAACCCTCAATGCGACGTTCCAGCCGGCTAAGATCGGCAACCCCTGTGGCCTCCAGATCACCTACCTGAAAGACAACAGCACAAGAAACATCTTTGTTTACCACAGTGATGCTAAGGTACGCCGCCGTCTTTGCAAACACAAGCCCCCGTTTGTGTTTCTGTCTCACAGCTGAACATCCAGGATTCATGCTGCATGTCACTTACATACATTCATGTACATGTGAAACTCTAACAGTTACAATATGGTGCAAAAATCCATTTATGTCAGTAGTCCAGCTTAGACTGAGATACCATCTAAAGGCTCAGGAACCCTTTGCAGGTGTTTTTGATCCATTAGCTGATCAGAGTGTGACACTTTGATTCTAACATATTGAACCATCTGAGAATTTGAGTGTTGGGTTTTCGTCAGCTGTAAGGCGTGATCATCACAGTTATAACTGATAAAGGCTGAAACATCTGGTTTTGCATGGAATGAGTTGATCTCATGTATTAGTTTCACCTTTAAGTTGATTTACTGACATAAATGAACTTTTCCACCAGATTCAAACGGTTTAAGTGGCACCTGTTCAGTGTTCCTTCATTCAAAAATATCTTATTTTATTATGCTTCTCTATCTTTTTACATTTTCAGTAAATATTGTTTCCTATCTTCTGTTTTTGCTGTTTATTTTTTCACCAAAGATCATACTCTGTTAAATGTCTGTGTGACATTCTGATTCTGATAAGACCCTTTCTACAGATATGGTACAATCTGTTTAAACACAGAATAAACATCAAAAACGTACTAAAAACTTGTACTAGCTACTGTAAACTTGTTGATATGATGGATTTCACTCCTCCTAAAAACATAAATTAGTTGTTCAAGTTGTCTATTACAAAAACTTTTATGATTTCTTCATTTTTATGCCAAATTTGGTGCAAATTAGCTTTATAGAAATGAAAAATGTTTCATATTTTCAACTTGCAGCATAAAAAATGATGATACGCAGCCCCGTTTCCATGTTAATCCCCATCACTCCCATCGTTGTGTGTCACTGAGGATTTTCTGCCGTTAAGCTTCACAGTATTGTTACATCTGTGGGATTTATGACCAAAATAGATGAAGATATGGATTCCATCAAACATGAGATTAAAAAGAGGGAGAAGTAAACAGGAGTGAAGGAAAAGCAGGAGCTGAGGAAGCGAAGCTCCCTCTGCTGGCCGGTTGCTGTAACAGAAAGAGGTCATCGGGTTCAGTGCCACTGTCATTCTGGATCACTGGAGAAGTTGTCGACTGAGGTTCCGATGCTGTCAGGTCACAGCGAGGAGGAGAAGCCATCAGTGGAGATAAAACCGTCACCTTTGCCTTGAGTCGGCTCTGGGCGGTGGCGTTCCTAGTCCACAAGGTCGTGTTTCCACTGAGAGAGTGTGTTTCTCCACAGGAGATGGTGGACTGGTTCAACTCCATCAGAGCAGCCAGGTTTCATTACCTGCAGGTGGCCTATCCAGGTGCAAGTGATGAAGAGGTGAACACGTTTATCAAACACTTAGAAAAAATCTCACAGGTTGACCACAGAGTTTGATGATTCTATTTAAAATGCTGTTGTTGTTAACGCACGCCTGTGTTTTACCTCCAGCTGGTGCCCAAACTGACGCGAAACTTTATGAAAGAAGGCTTCATGGAGAAAACTGGTCCAAAGGTTTGTGATGAAAATGTTGTGCAGCTAAAGTTTAAGAAGTGTTAACTGTTAAGTAACAAAAATCAGACCAAACTACACATATAATCAGGTCAAAACCAAGTTTTTATTTCTAAACGTGTTCCTGTAGCCTAATGACGGATTCTCTACCTGCACTGCTTTTGCCGGTTGCCGAGCAGGTTAACTGCTTGGTGGAAAATATTTTTCACCTGTGCCCTCTATTGGCTGGTGGATGTAAACATAAACACAGTGCCATGCCCATCAGAATAAATCGAACATGCAACTTTCCAGTAATCTGAAGGTTCATTGTTGGTTCTGACCAGAGAATGCTGCTGTTGTTGTCCTTGGGCAAGACACTCAACCGCTCTGCCTGCTGAGGGGCCGGTGTGTGTGAATTGGTGAATGACTGATTGTGTTGTGAAGTGCCTTGGGAGGGTGTAGAACCCTAAGAAGGTGCTATACAAATGTGAATTTACATTTAAATACTTGATAATTTTTGTAATTTAAAGGAAATACTGTATCTCCGTTCTGCAGTAGCTTAAGTAGCTTTTTATTAAACTGTTCCATATTCAAGCTTTAAGTGACAGTGTGACTATTTCCAGTTCCTGAGGCACTCACAAGGAAACTGAGAATGCTTGCAAATGTTACAAGATGTGTTTTTACACAAATCTGAGAAAACCACTTTTTTTTGTAATGTTTTTTTAATCTCCAAAATATATTTATAGTTACACGATGTTCGAATGCAGTGAGCAGCTTCCTGCTACTCTACCCTACTGGTTGAAAGTGGAATTGCAACCATCAGAAAGAACCCTGCAGCAGTCTGATGCAACTAGTGCTAACAGCAAGCTAACGCTAACATGAGCCACCTAAAATCAACTGCAGAGTAAAAAGATCTGGGCATCTAGTCAGGATGCCTCCTGGATGCTTCCCTGGTGAGGTTTTCCGGGCACGTCCAACCGGGAGGAGGTCTAAAGGTAGACCCAGGACACGTTGGAGGGACTATGTCTCTCACCTGGCCAGGGAACGCCTTGGGATTTTCCCGGAGGAGCTGGCCCAAGTGGCTGAGGAGAGGGAAGTCTGGGCCTCTCGCCTTAGGCTACTGCCCCCCCATGACCCGACTCCAGATAAGCGGATGAAAATGGATGGATGGATAAAACGATCCACACTGTTGGACAGAATATGATTACTTACAAGTCCAGTAACAACAACTCTAGGTCACCATCAGTCCATGAGTTTGTAGCCTCCTTTAGCTCCCGTAAACTAGTGTAGGCTGCGCTGATGTTCACTCAGGTTTTAGCTCTCTGCTTCGCCTCCAAAGACGTTACTTACTTACTTTTACTTCAAGGCTTCCATGATGCCAAAAGAAAAAGTGAACTTTGTTTTCTTTTTCTTGTGCTTTTTACTGACGATTGATGAACCGAACATGCTAACCACTAGCATTACAGCTAACAGCCGTAAAGCAGGTAAAGAGCGCCCCCTAGGACATCTACCTGCTCCACAAAACTATGTAGAGTGGTTTTCAGCTGAAGGCTGCAGAGTGGTGGCAAAAATGAAACTGGTCATGTTTTTTACCCAACAATCACTGAGATCATAGTTAAAGCTCTAGCTTAAAGTTCAGAAAATGTTCTACTGTTACGTTAAAAGGCATGGTAAAGAATAATTTGATGTCCTCGAGTAGGTCTTTTGATCTAGGACTACGTTGAAAATGTGTGTTTCAAAATGTGCTAACAAGCTCCCGTAAATCTTCTTTATGACAGCACACAGAGGGTTTCAAGAAGCGGTGGTTTACTATGGACGACAGGCGACTCATGTACTTCAAAGACCCGCTGGTAAGAACAGCCCTGTGATTTGTTGGATCTGTAGTTTGTTCATGAGACTCGTCCACATCTTTCTCCCTCTCTCAGGATGCCTACGCCCGAGGTGAGGTGTTCATCGGTAGCAAGGAGAACAGCTACACGGTCCTAGCGGGTCTGCCGCCTTCCACACAGGGTTACCACTGGAACCACGGCATCACCATCGTCACACCAGACAGGAAGTTTCTCTTTGCCTGCGAAACCGAAGCCGAGCAACGGGATTGGATAGCCGCTTTCCAGAGAGTCATCAATCGACCGATGAGGCCGCAGGAGTATGCAGGTTGTTCTTGGGAAGATGGATATGTGCTTGCTGTTTTTTAGGTTCTTCCGTCCAGATTTCTTTTTACACTTTGTGACACCTGATTTGATTTGTGTCTCCCTACAGTGGAGGCCCATTTTAAACACAAGCCCTGAAGCTGGCAGCAAGTCAGGACTCAACAGAGTTGACTCGGTCTCACTGAGATCAGTGCTTGCACCTTGAGACCAGAGACCTTAGCGGGAGGCTGTGGGTTGCGTTTGGAGTCAGGAATGGGCTGAGATTAAAAAAAAAATGATAATGAAGACACGGAAGAAGAGTGATGCACAAACTCTTGGGTTGAAGGGAAAATGATGCCATCACCCCACGGACCTCGTGTAAACCCAAGACCCTCGTCCTCACCTCAGCCGTGCGGAGCCCTCGTCTGCATCCCTAGATTTTGTCTTGTGAATGGTTCATCCTGCCTGTAATCTAATGTAATTATGTAAGCTAGAGTCATTTCACTGGTTGCTTAACAAAGACAAAGCTTTGGTCATTTATTGAATGTAGTCTGAATGACAGTGGTGGCTTTGGGATGTTTTCATCGAGGACTTTGAGGTGGAACCTCTGGCTTTGAAACCCTGATAAACCTGAATCTACAAAGTGCAGTTAACAACAAAAACGTGTAGAAAACTCGTGCACAAACGCTCAGTGAACACCACCGCTGCTAACACAGCTGACACAGCAGGGGGGTCCTTAAAACTTCAGTCTGACTGCTGTACTCTCATTCATTTGTACTGTTTAACATACCAAGTCACTGTAGACATAATTATTGCTGCTTTCTGGACTTAAAGGTGTCAGGATTGTAATTTATATAACACTTTTCTGAGTGACCATGTTCTCTTTTTGTATCTTGTTTTAAAGACATTTTGTGTTGATTCTTGCGTCATGGTGAGAGTTTGTTCCATCATTAAAAGTCCTCATGCCGTGTGGCAGAGTCCAGATGTTCCCGGTGTTCATTCATTGTGATCCTCTTTGGGATGAGTCTCCATCATTTCTGTGGAGGAAGTTTAACCCACAGCAGCGTAGGCCCAGACCATCACACTACCACCACCATGTCTGACTGTTGCTATGTTTTTTTTTTTAAAACGCTGTGTTAGTTTTACTCCTGATGGGCCGGGACACACACCTACTAGGAGGTTCCACTCATGGCTCATCAGTCCACAGATTATTTCCCAAAAGTCATCAAGATGATCTCTGGTAAATGTGAGAAAGGTCACAGGTTTCTTCTTTGGTCAGCAGATTGTTTAGCTCTGGCATTCCTTCGATATGCACCACACACACCACACACCACACACACACACACACACACACACACACACACACACACACACACACACACCTACGACCTTAACATGGCCCAGCTGAGTCTTGTAGTTCTTTAAATGTGGTTCTAGATTTTTTTTCTTTTTGGACAGAAAATCTGTATTCGTGGTGAAAATGACAAACTTCTTGTTACCTGCTGCTTGATCTCTGGATGTGTTTGTTTGTTCAGTGAGACATTTTTCAGATAAAGACTGTGTTTGGGTCAAATCTTACCCCAAGTCTTACTGTGAGCAGGTCTGACTGCTGTAAACTCTCCATGACGGCCCATAGCACGCGCACCACACACACACACCATTAACTCAGCAACATAATCCTATCTCTGTGTGTATTCTCCATGACTTTTGGAAAATCAGTGTCTGCATTACATCATCATAAATGAGGTGTCGTGTTTTCTTGCTCTAGCTGGTGTGGCCCATATTTCTTTAATTGGTTTTAAAAGTCCATCATTATTCTTGACTAATGGCAGGATTTTGTGTTGCTTTATTAGCTAATGACTCTTCAAATGTAAAGCTTCTTTAATCTCAATTAATCTGAGATTTTCTTTCATAAAAAACAAAACTACACACATAATCTGAGCAGCTGCAGCTTCGACTTGAGACTGGAAGCAGCAAGGCTACAGATGCTCCTTTCCTTACTCGTTCCACGACTTTGTGATACTAATATTACTAAGAATACTTCAGCTGACTTTTTAAAAATGTAAAAACAAGACCTGAACAAAAAATCCGGGAAACAGACGCTGTTCAATACTTCAGCATCACGTGTGAGTTTTCCTTTGAAACAGCAGGTGGCGGTCATCGACCTCTAATGGATGTAAACGGGTTTATGTTGAGTAATAAGGAAGGTGTGTGTGTGTGTGTGTGTGTGTGTGTGTGTGTGTGTGTGTGTGTGTGTGTGTGTGTGTGTGTGTGTGTGAGTGATGAAGGACCGCTGGCGTAAACGTGTCACCTGATGATCTCGCCATCCTGACGCCCCACCTTCCACATTAGGATTGTATCGTTATATCAATGTTTCCTCTGTCTGGCCACGTTGTTGTCGTTGGCAACTGGGTTGTCATGCAGGAACAGGGAACCAGTGAGCAGTAGTTGCCAGGTGGAACCAGACAGGAAGTGTTTAATAAGGGCGGAGCCTGGACTAAGCAGCTACTGTGTTCATCTGCATGATAAAACAGTCACTGAAAAGTGGCAAACCTCTGTCATCGGTGTAGTAGGATGGAGAAAGGGTTTGTTCTTTAGACTATTTAGCCTAGTGGTTCCCAGTCGTTTCAGCTTTAGAGCTACAAAATAAAAGCCTCAGGTCGTTGTGACCCTGAGTATGGTCTTTTTGAAATACAGTAAATCCTCTAATACAGGCCTGTATTCAATTAACGGCCGGGTCTCATATTTTGGCCGGTGTCGGAGTCGGCGGAGGCAAATAATGGCCGGTTTCTTATTGTGGCTGGGTGGACTGTGGTAAAAAGCAAGTACGGGGTGTGGTTCTGTCATCGTCTCACTTTTGATTTGCCAGTGATAGACTGCGAGGGTAACTTTAGCAATAGGGGTTGTATGAACTAGTCGACTTCATTATAGTGACTTTTTATGCCTGTCGTTGACTAGTCGCTGTCACGTGATAATGACCGGCAAGATGCAGCCCTCGGAAAAGACAGCAGCCTGCTGTCAGCAGGTGACAAGCTCCTGCGCTCGGGGGGGGGGGGGGGGGGGGGGGGGGGCAACGCGCTGTGCCAGGGCGTCGGTACTGACACGCGATCGTTCATGTCGGTTCATTTCCTTTAATGTTTTCTGTCTTTTATTTGTGCCTGATGCGTTTCGCTGTGGAGCGGGGCACATCACCTTGTCCTCCGGTGACGCACTGATCACTGATGCGGCCACCAGGCAGGGAGCACTCCGCTGTTTTTGCGGTCGGTAGATCTGCGTCCTGAGCACGGCCACAGTAACATTATCAAATCAGGTGTCGCCACCTCAAAAACTAATTTAACACGCGATCGTTCATGTCGGTTCATTTCCTTTAATGTTTTCTGTCTTTTATTTGCACCTGATGTGTTTCGCTGTGGAGCGGGGCGCATCACCTTGTCCTCCGGTGACGCACCGATCACTGATGCGGCCGGCAAGCAGCGAGCGCTCTGCTGTTTTTGCGGTCGGTAGATCTTTTAGAACTGCAGCTCAAAGGTAACTCATAAGGTGAATATATATGAACCCAGGTAGCAGTTTCTCTTTAGGATTGAGAGGAGATGCAGGAAGATAATAAACAGGCAGGACAGTAAAATAGTCAAATAAAAACAAGTTAGTTTTTGTACCTGGTGGTTGCAACAAACAGACACCATTGAAGGTAATCAGAAGTGAGGAACAGAAAATGAAATAATTATTTTAGTGTTTAGAGCAGCAGGAACTCCGAGAGGCTGCAGGCGCATCGGTGAGTTTGCGGCTGCTGCGCAGGGGGAGGGGGGAGAGGGCTGAAGCAGAAACTACCGTTGTTAAAAGAAATGTGTTTAACTTGGAAAATGTGGGCGCAATTTTAATTGTCAAAAACTCCAGCGAACCATTAGTTCATTTTGCTCAAATAGAAATAGAGGCCTGCCTCTAATTCTGGCCCTCCTTCCAATAAAGGCCTGGAGCTTGAGTCAAATACAGGCCCGGGCCTGTATTAGAGGATTTACGCTATACAAACATTGCTGATAAGCTTACCAGGGAACAGACCACCTAACACGTCTGTCCAGTGATTTTTGGCAGTTATCTTGACGACATAGTCAAAAGATGTATTAGACCTATTTTAAAAACAGAACGGGTTGACAAAAACTTTATAATAATATATCAAAATAGCACCTCTAGAGAATAATCTAAGGCTTTTTGCACACTTAGACACTTAAAATGTGCAACACACTGTATTAAGGGATAAAAACGTGGATTTTTCGTGATGTCTCCTTTAAGAAGATGTTGCCGATATTTAAAATACTATGTGGTGAGATCTTGACCTGAGGGGAACCTTGTGTAAAGAAGAAACAGCAATCTAAAAAGTGTTGGTATTGTGTTACTCGTTACCATTTTCCTGTCATTGATAGGGTTCTGAACAGCCTCTGTTCAGAGAAACAGAGATTGCAATCCAATGGGGCTAACAAGCTGCCATTTTGAAAAGTTTCCAATCTACAGATTACATATCAGGTTCAGAATGACTTAATACATTTTTACACTGCCATCAATTGGAAATGATTTTTTATTAAGCATAATTATTACCTACAGCAGATTCTGGTTCACTGGGGTCAGGTTCTACAGGTTTTTGATATTTCTGCTGAAATAATAGTGTGACGTAAAACGGGTGTGCAGGGTCCAACCCTGGTTCTCCAGGGCCCCTATCCAGCTGCTTTCCTGCGCTGATACACCCGATTAGCAGCTTTAGCAGGAGCCCGTAGATCACCTACTAAAATCAGCTGTGTTCACTCGGAGAAACCTCTAAAACATGCTGCCCTCGAGGAACAGGGTCACTGTGAAAAAATAAAACAAAATCAGGTCAAACGTGAATAAGAGCACTGAAGAAAACCTGACTGAGGTTAATACGGTTCAGGAAAGAAGAGTTAAGCACTTTTCATTGATTCAAAATGTCTTCTTCCAAATTAGATATAAGCTACCAAATGTCCAAGGTGTAACAGTCCAGCCAGAGTGACCAGATGCTTGTCCCACTCAAGGCCTGGTGAGTGTTGTGTGCAGCTGCTCCCAGGCCAGGGGAGGGCTGGGTGGAGGAGGTGCCAAGGCCAGGCCATTGATAAGTGGTGAGGTGTAGGACCTGCGGGAGGAGTGAAAGTACGGGTGTTGGTATAAGCCAGCAGGATAACCTGAAAACACGCTGTAGAAGCTGGAGCTCTGGGGTTCAGCATAGTCTGGTTGGTTAGTAGGAGACGTGGAGGAGGACGAGGTGGAGGGAGGGCAGATGGCTGGGCTCAGGGGGGTGTAGTTAGGTGGGTGAGACGGAGGAGGAGAGGTAGAAGAGCTGTGGCCCGGGCTCATCTGCTCTGTTTTAATTTGAGGTTTTAAGCTGTTCTCGTGCATCTCTTGGTTGGAGGAAGGAGAAATGGCTGTGGAAGTCCCGTTACGGGTTCTGTCTGGGTGGCAGCTTTGTGTGATGAAAGGTCCGGACAGGTTGCTGGTTTCCATCGGGGTTAGAAGGGTAGTGACATGGCTGTTTGGAGGCAGGTACTGGTCCAACTCGTGGACATCAAAGCCATCCATGGTGCCGATGACATCAGAGCTTAACTCAGAGATGTCCACGTTGCTGAAGTCAATGTTCTGGCGGGATGGAAGTGGAGCAGGAACGCTGCTTCTCTGGAGTTTAGCTCCTGGGTGGAGGTCGGTTTTAGGGGTAGTGGGAGGTGTGGGAGGACCATGAGGTTGACCTACAAATCAGGAAGGCGTCTGATTATAATACTGAAACATAAAAGGTTTAACTTTCAGATGAAATGTGACATCACCTGGCCTGTCTGGGTGTGTGGCTGGGCCAGGTTCCATCTTATAAAAGGCCTGCTGCTGCTGCACCAGTCCAGGTCCTGGGTCCCCCTCACCTGGTTTACAGCTCTTGCGTCTCCGAGGTTGGTACTTGTAGTCTGGGTAGTTTTTCTTGTGCTGTGTTCTCAGTCTCTCAGCCTCCTCAACGAAGGGACGCCTCTCTGATTCAGAGAGAAGCCTGAAAGGAGGGGGGGTAGGAATGCTATTCACAAATGGTGCAACTTAAATGCTTCACACCTGATTGAAATGTAAAACGTTTTTCATATTTAACCATAAAAAAGAAAAAATATTTCTTGAATTCAGTCCCAATATATCTCAATTTCAGGTAATGATATTTGGTCATAATTCATGTAGAATGAGTCTATTTCTGTGGTATCAGAGAAAAAGGTGCAAGCGATTCAATTCATTTTCTGAAACTATCCCACTAATGCTTTCTGTATGTCTAAACCTGTGGGTTCGGTTGTGGAGTGGGAATGCTCACCGCCACAGTTTGCCCAGTGTCTTGCTCAGCTCAGCGTTGTGCAGGTGAGGGTACTGGTCCGCCAGCTTCCGCCGCGCCGCCTGCGCCCACACCATGAATGCATTCATCGGCCGCTTCACGTGAGGTCTGCTCTTCAGACCCCTCGCCCCCTGACCCGGAACAGGCACCAGAGACCAGTCATACCCTTTTAGCACCTGCGACACCGCGTCTCTGATGCAGGCTGGGAACCGCTCGTCCTCAGGGGTGCTGTGAGCTCTGGGCGTAATCCCATGCAGGCACGAGGCTGCCTCCTCCAGTGCGTGAGCCCCATTAGGAGAGGTTGGATGATCCGAGTCCAAACCGTGCTGGGACACGGAAGTGTCGCAAACCTCTGGTCTGCGAACAGTGTTGTTTTCCTCTGTCATGTTTGGCTGAGACGATTTTCTGGCGCAAAAACTCCAAGAACTCTACAAGTGCGTAAAGGCGCAAAGTTCTGCACAAATCCTCAAGAGATGTGAAATCCTTTTAGGTGAGTTCTTGTTTTTGACTGACATTACTTTTCACAAGCTCCTCCAGATCCTGACGGACTGACGCACCGCGTTAATAGCTCCACACTTTTTAAAACTCTCCACCCCCGTTGTCCAGTTGGCTCCTGTTCCTCCTCACTTAACCAAAAGGAGCAGGAGGAGTCAGATGAGACAAAGTCCGTCCTTAAGACTTCAAGTTCACGAGGGTCAAGATTATATATATATAAAATATATATATATATATATATATATATATATATAAACATAACCCTAACCTTAAATGGAACAATAAAGGTGCCTGTTACAAAAGGAAATCCTTATTCTTTGACAATTGGTTTAGGAATTGCATATTTTATGAAGATCAATCAGCTCTTTAATAAGGAAGGAAATTTATTTACTTATCAAGAATTTCTTTTTCATTATAAAACTCCTGTAACCCCTAAAGAATTTGCAATTGTTTTCTACGCTGTTCCATCTGGTGTTATCATGCTTTTCAAACGTTGTACCACCCCACCAGCTAACATGACCACTTTGCCTGATCCAAGTGACACAATTATAGGGAAACTTTGTTTTCTATTGAGATTACGACCAAATAAGCAGATTCGCTCCCTTTTTCTAGCTGATTGTGTTTCTGTACCACATGTTCACCCTAAATGGAATTCACTTGTTCAGAACGTGTCGTGGGAAAAAGTATGGACTCTTCCTAACAGATACTTGCTTACAAACCAAGTCAGAGAAGTCACATTCAAACTCCTTCATCGCTATTATCCTGTTAAAACATTCCTGAGGAGATTCATTAAAGACTATGATGTATCCTGTACTTTCTGCAAGGAGCACCCAGAAACTATCAACCACTTGTTCTGGACTTGTGAACACACTCGGAAACTATGATAGGCAAGGCTTCTGTAGATTTATATTGGACCATATTCATGAGACATTTGTATTACATTTTCACAATGTTCTGTTTGGATTTCTAGACGACCAGAGAGATTTTGAAAATGAACTGTTCCTATCTAATCTTATCATATTGCTGACCAAGTTTTACATCCATAAATGTAAAGTTTTAAAACAAGACCTTCCTTTTGTGTCTTGAAAAAAGAACTCGAGCTTTATTTGAAAACGATCTCCACCTCGAACAATAACAAAGCCATTAAGACACTAAGTCTCTGCTCAAAATTTCAGATTTTTCCATAGTTCATACTCAGTTGCATTTCTCGTATTGTTTCCTGTTTTGATCATCATTCTCATATGTTTCATAATTTGCATACAGTATCCCCTGGCGTTGAATCTGTTGGTATGTTTTTGTTGTGTTTGTACTGTTTCCATGTACTTCATATTGGACATTCAGTCATTTATGTATCTTGATTGTATTGTTAATGACTCGAATTAAAAACAACAACCACACGATCACTGTCCCTTGAAAATGACGTTTGAACAAACATGTCACGTCACGTGACCGTGCATGAGTTCCGCGAACATGGCGACCATCGGTGGAAGCCCGGAGAGCACTGTGAGGAAAAGACGTGTGGACAGCAGGAGGACAGAGACGGACCATGTTCCTAGCAGCGCCGATAATGGAGCAGGAGACAACAGAGACACGGACAAAGAGACGCAGCTACATCCGGGGACTTTCTGGCTCACCCGTGTTGTTCTGCTGCGCTCCGTCGCCTTTATTTACAGTGAGGACTCACCTTTTGTGTTAGTCCAGCCTCCTTACACCAGGCAACGTCGTAAAAGGCGTAATCTCGTCTAAAACGCGGCTGCTTTGATTCTAACTGTCTATGAACATAATAACACACAGATGTGTTAATTCTTTAGGTCATATCCATTTAGAATGAGTTTGTTCAGTCTATTTTGTAACGTTTACGCATGTATTTTATAGCATTAGTGTTATTTTTCTCATTTCTCTCAGGGTTGCTGGTCAGAAAGCAGTGAGAAAATGGCAAGCCGTTTTGTCACATAATCAAACCAAACATCCGTCATCAATTGAATGTCAACCATAAAAAATTTATCAGTCAAATATATTAGTATCAGTGTAGATACTGACCGATGTTAGTCATTTTTAACATATTAGTGTCAGTCAGATAAATAGAACTGAGCTGATCTAAAGGTTTATTGGAGATACCGTAAATCCTCTAATACAGGCCGTTATTCAATTAAAGGCCGGGACTCCAATTTTGGCCGGTGTCGGAGTCGGCGGAGGTGAATAATGGCCGGTCTCTTATTGTGGCCGGGTGGAATGTGGTAACAAGCAAGTACGGGGGGCGGTTGTGTCATCGTCTCACTTTTGATTTGCCAGTGATAGACCGCGAGGGTAACTTTAACCATGCGGAGACGAAGAGGAGGCGAAAATTTGATATCAAGTTCAAAGAGAACATGCGCTGCAGAACACTGGGAAGCAATAGGGGTTGTATGAACTAGTCGACTTCACTATAGTGACTTTTTATGCCTGTCATCGACTAGTCGCTGTCACGTGATAATGACCGGCAAGATGCAGCCCTCGGAAAAGACAGCAGCCTGCTGTCAGCAGGTGACAAGCTCCTGCGCTCGGGGGGGTAACGCGCTCAGCCAGAGCGTCGGTAATGACACGGGATCGTTCATGTCGGTTCATTTCCTTTAATGTTTTCTGTCTTTTATTTGCACCTGATGTGTTTCGCTGCTGTGGAGCGGGGCACATCACCTTGTCCTCCGGTGATGCACCGATCACTGATGCGGCCGCCAAGCAGCAAGCACTCCGCTGTTTTTGCGGTCGGTAGATCTGCGTCCTGAGCACGGCCACAGTAACAATCAGGTGTCGCCACCTCAAAAACTAATTTAACACGCGATCGTTCATGTCAGTTCATTTCCTTTAATGTTTTCTGTCTTTTATTTGCATCTGATGTGTTTCGCTGCTGTGGAGCGGGGCACATCACCTTGTCCTCCGACGCACCGATCACTGATGCGGCCGCCAAGCAGGGAGCACTCCGCTGTTTTGGGGGTCGGTTGATCTTTTAGAACTGCAGTTCAAAGGTAACTCATAAGGTGAATATATATGAACCCAGGTAGCAGTTTCTCTTTAGGATTGAGAGGAGATGCAGGAAGATAATAAACAGGCAGGACAGGAAAAGTAGTCAAATAAAAACAAGTTAGTTTTTGTACCTGCTGGTTGCAACAAACAGACACCATTGAAGGTAATCAGAAGTGAGGAACAGAAAATGAAATAATTATTTTAATGTTTAGAGCAGCAGGAACTCTGAGAGGCTGCAGGCGCATCAGTGAGTTTGCGGCCGCTGCGCAGGGGGAGGGGGGAGAGGGCTGAAGCAGGAACTACCGTTGTTAAAAGAAATGTGTTTAACTTTGAAAATGTGGGCGCTATTTTAATTGTCAAAAACTCCAGCGAACCATTAGTTCATTTTGCTCAAATAGAAATAGAGGCCTGCCTCTAATTCTGGCCCTCCTTCCAATAAAGGCCTGGAGCTTGATGAGCTTGAGTCAAATACAGGCCCGGCCCTGTATTAGAGGATTTACAGTATTTTATATTTACACAATTCACTTATTGGCGACCAGTGTTGCTGTTGTACAGTAAAGAGGAGTTTTAAAGGATACAGAAAAATATATTTCTAAATATGTTTACACATGAATCTCCCTTTGTCTCTGGTTCTAGTTGTGGCCTTCAGCGTGGCCTACAATCAGAACAAGCAGCTGATCGGAGACAATGGCCTCATGCCCTGTAAGAATTACCTAAACAGTGTCAAGCGCTATGTGGGAGGAAAGATCGGACTGGAGGCCTTGGCCTACACACCCTCCATCCTGTGGTTCCTGGACTGGAGTAGCATGGACGCCAACCTAGATGGCATGGCCCTGGTGGGGATGGCCCTGTCAGGGTTTGTCCTGGTGACGGGAATGGCTAATATGGTGATCATGGTCACACTGTGGGTCCTTTATCACTCCCTGGTCAACGTGGGACAGCTGTGGTGAGTTTATGCACACTTGGAAAACTGAATACTTTTCTGTCACTTTTAGCAAACAAGAGTAAATTTTTATCCAACGTCTGCCTGTCTTAATTATCGTTAATTTAATTTTCATTTTGTTTGACAAACAGTCCAACAATGGGCTTATTTGTACTAAATACACTGACAAATATTGTATTGGTATCAATTGTTAATAAACAACAATTACACCTGTATTAGTTATTTTGCCATATTCCACTTTGTAAGCAGGCCTTTATTTAGTCATTTCTTCCAAATGATAGAAAATACTCTTGTGTCATATTCTTCACATCCAAAAATACACATTTTTATGTGTATTTTCAGTTTTGACCACAACGCAGCATTAATTTGTCCAAATATCAATGTGTAGAAAAACTATAGAGAAACCGTAGATTACATCCTATTGGATCCTATCGAGGCTTATTTTCCATCACAAAGGTTGCTTCAGTTGAAATCCATCATGGAGTGCGTCTACATGCAGCCAGTAACCCTTTTAAAACCTGAATATTCACAATAACCCGGTTCCGCAGGTCCATGTAAACACCGCCAAAAACCCGGATATGCTCATAACCCCAGGGTTACTACACCTGGGGTAACCCTTCTCTAACCCGAATGTTTGGTCGTGTAAACGCATATCAGGATATCCCCATCAAAGCGTGTGTTCTGCTCATGCTGTTCACAAGGAATCTTGGTCTTTTGAGTAGCGAGACGTCTTGTATGCGCCAGAACACCAGAAGTAAACAACAAGTTCGGAGCAACATGGCGAGTCGCGGCACAGCACCACACTTTTGGAGTGACGAGGAAACCTGTCTTCATCGGTCTGGTGAAAAGTATGAACATTATGTCTTTTGTTGACGGCCGAAAGTACAGAGACAGCGAAATATGACGCATATTGTGTCTTGACGTAGTCCATACGTCCTGACGCTACCCCAACGTCCACATTTAAATCGGGTTATGCAAGTTAGGGGTAAATCTTTCTATTTATGCTTGTAAACGGGTTATTCTGATCAACTCAGAAACCCGAATACCGACCTTAAGCCGATCATAACCTGGATATTGGCTGCATGTAAACGTAGTCATGGAGGCATGTTTGTGTACAAAAACATGTAATGTGATTTTTTGTTAATGAATGAAAAACTGTCAGATTTAATCCAGGCATGAATTTAACTATAAGTAGGAATACAAATGTATATCTAATTTAAAGTTATAATCTGTAATCCATCATTAACTAATTTTAATTTTCCGATCTCTTGGTTTCTCTGTAGGTACTCGTTTGGTAAGTGATCTTCAGACTAATTCCACCACAGCTTCCTTTGTTTCTCCTCCAGAAGACGATTCGGATTAGAAGCCAGTGAGGCAGGTTTATACAAATCATCAAACGTTGTTTTGAACCCAAACACAACACAGATCATGCAGATCAGCACCGAGATCAGAACAAACTGAGGAATAAATTGGCTCATTGCAGATTTCAATCAATCAATCAAAGCTTTATTTATAAAGCGCCTTCCACGAGCGACCCTGTCGGGAAGCCCAAGGCGCTGAACACGGTACATGAGATGTGAAACATGATGAATAAATCGAAAATAAAAGCAATTCAAATAGTGCAAAAAAGGTAAAACATTAAAGTAGAAGACAAATGGGTAAAACAAGGGATAGAGAGACCAATGAAAACAGGGAAATAAAATCAACATACAAGAGGGCCAAATTCAAACATGTTCAGGGAACGCCAAGCGGAGGAGGTGGGTTTTTAGGCGACTCTTGAAGACTGGCAGAGATGGGGACAGCCTAACTGAGGGTGGCAACTGGTTCCAGAGTGACGGTGCTAGGACTGAGAAAGCCCGGTCCCCGCGAGTACGACACCTAGGTCAGGGGTGTCAAACTCATTTTAGCTCAGGGGCCACATTGAGGGAAATCTAGTCCCAAGTGGGCCGGACCGGTAAATTAAAAAAAATAAAACTTCAGATTGTTTCCTTTTTTTTTAATACAATCAATATAAAACAAGCCTGGAGCCTGAGGACAGTGTATCCAAAATAGTACAAGTACAACACCTGAAGTGTACTTGAAAAAAAAATAAAATAAAAAAATCAATAAACTAAAAAAACATTCCTTAGTGATTCAAAGAGCTTACAGATCACATGGCTAGATCAGTTTCATGCAGCACTTAAAGTATATTTGACTCATTTTACTTTACATCTTTTAGCTTTCACCAGCACATCAATATCAGAAGTCACATCCTGAGTGGTGGCCAACTTCAGGATGTGACTCAAGTTCTTGTGTGAGCCTTGAGCGCAGCTTTGTTTTATTTATACTCATTACAGAGAAAACTTGCTCACAAAGATAAGTTTATTTTCACTCTACATTGTAAAGTATGAAAATAAAGTTTACACAACCATCTCGCGGGCCGGATTTAACCCGCTTGCGGGCCGGATCCAGCCCGCGGGCCGCATGTTTGACACCCCTAACCTAGAACGAGGGACAGCGAGCAGGCATTGGTCAGAGGAGCGCAGAGCGCGTGATGGGGAATGTCTGTCCAGGAGAGTGGCTAGATAGGGGGACCACCACCCTGGAAGAAATTGTAAACAAAGACGAGGATTTTAAAGTGTGAACGAGCTAGGTGCTAATGTCACAATGATGGTGCAGAGTGTAAACAGTTGGCATGTAATACATGTTTCTTATATTTATGTGGTATTTCTACCTCTCTCTTAGTTAGAGTAAACTCGGCTAACTCGAATAAAGCCTCATCCCTCTCTTTGCTCATGTAAGCTCAGATGTTGTTGTTATGTGTGCAGGCTGGGAGAGCCAGCTGCTGGAGACGGGCTTCCTGGCCATTTTCTTGTGTCCAGTCTGGACTCTGTCCCAGGTGCCTCGCAGCTGCCCCCCCTCCCTTATCTGCATCTGGACCTTCAGGTGGCTCATTGTTCGCATCATGCTGGGAGCTGTGAGTACAGCAGACACACTGAGGGGGGGGGGGGGGGGGGGGGGGGGGGGGGGGGGCTGACTGCAGGCCGCCTAAACCAGAAACCAACCATACTGATTATAACTAAATGTGTCAGGCCTGTTGTAGTTTAGTTCTGTTTTAGTTTGTCACAGTTTTTGTAAAATCAACTCAGCGGGCGTTAAATGATTCTGATCTTCTAGCCTTTGAGGTTTGAACGTCTGCAGGGACGGCCTTTAAAACGCTGAAACCCTTGGTAACACGCGGCTCTCTGTGATGGGAGAGGTTTTTAGACATTTATGGAATTCAGACTTGGGGAACTGAGTCTGTCGCTTAATTTTTCTGTTACATTCCTGATAAACAGCTCAGTGTTGAACAGCATTTACTGTGAAATCGTTACAGAGAGAACAGAATGTTCTTCCAGGCTGTCGCCGGTGTGCTGAGGTTTTCTGGCGGAGTTTGGTTGGTTTATCTTGACCATGTACAACAAAAGTCCATAAATGCCCTGAACCCCACATATGTTCTTCTAAAATTTAAAAACAAAACAAGATGTGGGTTTCAACTACGTCCTTGGCGCACCTTTGAGATGTGTTAGCTTGTAAACGTTGGTAATTAAAAAGACTAAATCAGACGTCTCATATATGACATCACAGGAGAATGTCTTCCCTTAGTGTAGCTGCTACGTAGCACGTGGCCAGATTTATGCTGGTTTTCTTCACATTTAACGCTCCTTCTGTTGTGAAGCTCGATCTTCGCCGACCTTCTCTGTGTCTGTTTCGATGACGTCTGTTTGGTGACATAAACATTTGTAGTCGTACACGTATTTTCACACAAAACCTAAAATAACTGTTGCCGCCTGCAGAAAATAAGCAATGTCACGGCATCAAGGTTTGTCTTTAAAATTCACGGACGTCAGACGTTGCATGATACGTAACTTTTATCGGCTCAGACTCCCTGTCATTGATGGGGACTCATGGTTTGGATGGGCGTGACTTCGGCTCCCTGTCATCATCACACACTGGCGACACTACATCTTCACATTTGACCCGTCCCCGTGGGGAGCTGCAGCTGTGGCTGCGCTCAGGAACTATTTGGTGGTTTTAATCCCTCCAATCCAACCCCTTAAAGCTGAGTGTCAAGCATTGTTGAGGTCTTTGGGATGACCTGACCGGAGAACAGAATACTGCCAAGCTAAATATGGAAGACTTCCATTAGCCTCTGAGAGCTAACAGATTTCACACTTTAGTTAAGAAAGGCTGCTGCTTGTTGGATAAGCATCAGCCTCTAGATTCAGACTCCAGCTGGTTTCTTTCTGTTTCAGGGTCTCATTAAGATCAGAGGAGACAAGTGCTGGAGAGACCTCACCTGTATGGACTACCACTACGAGGTGTGTGTGTGTGTGTGTTATCCTGTGGTATAAGGCAGTTTATTGAGTTTTTTTATTTATGTTTTTTATTTATGATTTAATGTTTTTACCATAAAAGCCCCACAAATCAGTTTTAAAAGCCTAATGCTGTTCTGTGGTCCAAACTCAAACATTGCTTATGAGATTTAGAATAGAAGCAAACAGGTCATTTACCCAGAAGAAGCTTCAGCTGCTCTGTTTGGACCGATAGTTTTGTGTATCTAACAGAAGCTGCAGAGTTTTAACGTAGATTTAGTTTGGGTTAACATTAAAGATGCGTCTTTCTTCTCCCACAGCTGACATGTAGTTAATCAGTTAAGTCCAGCTGACAGATCAGGTTACAGTGTGGCGCTTGTTCCTTGCTGGGTCAGGTTGGTTGACCTGGTCCATCGTCTGCAGCTTGTGTGTGAGTCACACACATGAACGGCAGGAGCCAGCGGCGCCAGTCGGACACACTGCTCCCTTTCAGCCTGCGGAGGGACTGCAGGTCTCCTCCTGGCCGGACTCTCGGGGGAGCGCGTGGGCCCGCTGCAGGACAGTCGCTACTCTGTTCCCCCTGCTGTCGTAGCTCCTCGGGCTTCAGACCAGCGTCGAGCTGTTAGGACTGCTCTGCTGAACTACTTGTTGAAAATCCCACGGTTCCTTCTGTTCCATTAACACAAAGAGCACACTGATTAGTTTTCTGGATGACTTGTCCTCCCCCCCACCCCCCACCCATTTAATTTCTCACTCCACCTATATCTGCTATATTTGTTTTTCCCCACCAAACCTAACTCTGTGTATGTGTTCAGTTTACACACACAGTGTTTTTTGTGTGGAGGAAAGGTTGCCTTCATTTAAATAAGGTTCCATCTTTATTTAGTCTGACGGTGTGGCACCACAAATTACTCTCCAGCCCCGCCGGGAGACAAGCGCCGAGGTAAAGCAGACGAACCCTCCAGCCTGGGCTGAGCTGAGGTGGAATATTAAAAGTGTAGCCTTTAATTATTAGTATTATTATTCCATCTTAGGTTAATTGGTTTGCTTCTTTGAAAGTCTGAACATGCTAGAAAAGTTCTGGAGTTATGCAAACGTGTGAAAAAGTGATGAAAATGTTCAGAAGTAGGTGTTGTAAAATGTCTCAACAGCGCCACCTGTTGTTACAGTCCCTCCATCTTCCCCCTACAAAATCATCCCTTTGGGGGATGGCCGACTCCAAGTTCACCCCTGTCCTTGTCGTCTGTCCAGACCCAGCCAGTGCCCAACCCAGTGTCCTACTACATGCATCGCTTCCCCTGGTGGTTCCATCGCTTCGAGACGTTGTCCAATCACTTCATCGAGCTCATCGCCCCCTTCTTCACCTTCCTGGGTCGGCGTATGTGCATGGTGAACGGAGCCATTCAGATTCTGTTTCAGGTAAGCGCTGCAGATGAACTCAAACATATTACTCTAGATGTATCTTTAATTCAGAACAGCCATTAAAGATGAATTATAAAATGTAATAAGTTCATTTTTTACCACTAATTCTTATGAAAACGCACCAAAAATATAAGGAACTGAAAACATGTCAACCAGAAAACGAGTCCTGCCGGGTCTCCATCCTGATCTGCGAGGGGTTGTGCGTTTGGAACACAAAGATGAAAATGAAATGACCAACCTACAGAGGTCTTCATGCAAAGTCACCCAGAAAATGACCTGAAAAACCGATGCAGCAGGATAGGTCCAATGTCTGGTTCTAAAGGTTTGGTCAGAGGCATCCACACCAGCATCCCATTGGAGGTGGAGGAGCAGACACGTCCCTGCTGGTGGGTGAAGGACTGGTGTCCCTGTCCGACTGTTTCCTGAGCCCCCTTCAGACAGGCCATGAAAAACGGAAATGTTCCGGAATCTGTCCGTAAGACCTTTCTGTCTGAATACAAACATCCGGATAACGTGTTCCGGAATTTATCCGGACGAAGCCCCTAGTAACAGGTCCGGACTTGTTACGGACAGGCTGGCTTCTTCAGACTGGTGAGGTAAAGTTCCGGACAAGGGGGAGGGGGAGGAGGAGGGGACCGGGGGACGCTGTGCGCACCTAGATAGCCCGCTGCTGTAGCATGCGGCGAACCACGGCAGCTCGCCTCCTACGGTACCGCCTAGACGCGCGACGGAGCGCTTCACACCGCTTCAATGATTCCTTTAACCATTGAGCTTCACCATCCAGGTCTCTTATGCGTCTTCGTGTGCGCAGAATTCTGCTTAAGAGCCTCGTGATTTTTATCTTAAGAGGCGCTATAGAAATGATATTTTCTTCTTCTTCTTCTTCATGACATGAGTCCGATTCTCTCTCCCCCCACCACCCCCCGCCGCCGTCAGACATCTGGAACTTTTCCCTGCTGTGTGAACGCAGCCGAAAGGACAAGTTCCGGTACAAAAGTGGTGTGTCTGAAAACACAGTTCCGGTTAAAAACCAGATTGAATTGTCCACAAATGTTCCAGAATGTCTGTCTGAAAAGGGCTCTGGAGTCTCTGCTCTGGAGACACATCACATCAAACCTACTGAGAGGCAGCAAAGACCAAGGAGGAGCAAAATCTCTTTTGCATTGTTGCCTTTAATGGGCCATTCCCTTCTGTACCAGGTTGGCCCTGCCCGGATAGCTCCAGTCGGCCCCAGCCTGGCCCGGTTGATTCCACACATCCTTGCTTAGGTATGCAAGGAATGCAGTCAGAGACATTTTCAGCTTCTAGGTAATCAGCATGATAATGAATGATAATGAATTGAGCATGCCTTAAGCCCATGTGGGCTGATTCTACCCACCAATCAGAGGCGTGCTCTAATGGAAGGTGTGAATTTGCTGACTGACAGTCAGCAGTGGGTGTGTTGGCCCTGGTCGGCCTGAAGCAGATCACCTCAGAAAGAGGGCCGAAAAACAGTCTTGTTGCACCCTGAAAAATGACACGCCACCAAGATATGTAAGCAAGCTATGCTATCCGGGCCGGGCCGACCAGGTACAGATGGAAGTGGCCCATAACTGACTCGATACGATACTCTGATTTCATTCTTTAGTTGTTTTCCCCTCAGGCTGTCCAAGCTGTTAAAATCCCCCTAAAGAACATCTAAATGTAAAATATTGCTGCTTGATATTTCATGAGAAAACTCCAGAAGACGTGCAGATGAGAGCTGGTGTTATCATGATGTTGTTAGCTCACGTTCATCAGTGCTGCGGAGCTTTTCTGAAGCTTCAACCAGATAAACGTTGGAGAAAAATGAAACCGCTGTTATGGATGATGTAGGCTTCCTCTCTGTCTGCAGGTGGTCTTAATAATCAGTGGAAACCTCAGCTTTCTCAACTGGCTCACCATTGTTCCCAGCTTGGCCTGCTTTGACGATGCATCGCTGGGCTTCTTGTTCAGCCGCGGCTCTGGAGCTCAGCAATCTGTGTTGGAGTTGCAGAAGGAGAAATCGGCCGGGCGCACGCCCAAACCCACCAAAGGTGTTCAGGTTCCTGAAGTTACACTCTGTTGTGGGACGGACACGAGCCGCAGGATGCAGTTACACTAAAACACCTGCGTTAGTGAAAGTGAATGGATGTGGTGGTGATGGAGGGACAGGGAAGTAAAAGTGATTCGCTGTTAGACGGCCGAGGAGCTTGGAAAAGTGACTCTTTCACAGAATCTAAAAGTGTAAACCCTGAGCGTGAACTTCTCCAGCTGGTCTCGTTTGTTTTTACTGTAGGAGCTGAAAACGTGTCATACCATCGGTTAGAGGGTGTTTTAATGGGTAGAACAGACACACACAGGCTGACGAAGTGGGAAAGTCATGACTCAGATGATGTCTTTAACATGGGTGGGGTAAGCAGGCAGGGGTCTGAAGCAACTGTGGAGCCCTCTGCCTCGGGACTGGTGGTCGGTGGCGGCGGCGGCGGCGGCTGGGGCACTCCTTGGGTAGTGGCCAGGTAGTGGTGGGGGTTGCCACCCTCCCTCCCAGGGCGCCCTGGTTTGGTGTCTTGGCTGCTGCTGTGGATCTGCTGCCGTCGAGGCAGATGGCTCCCTTGATGGCGTGTCTTTCATTACCTGTCCAATCTGAGCTCAGCCTAGTGTTTACTGTGGTCTTTTAGTGTGTGTGTGTGTGTGTGTGTGTGTGTGTGTGTGTGTGTGTGTGTGTGTGTGTGTGTGTGTGTGTGTGTGTGTGTATTGGGGGTGAAACTGTCATAATTGTTTTAAGTGTGGGAAAGGGAGGGAATGTGGGTTATATGGGTCGTTTTAATCTGTTAAGCACTTTGTGTTGCTTCCTGTGCATGAAAAGTGCTTTATAAATAAAGTTTGATTGATTGATTAATTGAACGGGCGGAAATGCTTCCGCTGAGAAACGCTAATGTGATCATCACAGACATCCATGGTGCTACTAATGACTGACATGCTGCTGGGCTTCAGTTTTCCTTTGGGGGATTCAGCGTCATTCCCAGGAACCTCTCACTGAGTTGGATTATTAGTAAAAACAAAAGGTCAGCTACTGAGATGTTAACTCATTCTTTGTGTGTGTTAGGTACGTTGATTCGTCGGGTGGTGAACGTTTCTTTGGCTGTTCTCATTGGCTACCTGAGCATCCCCGTGGTGATGAACCTGTTCAGCTCTAGACAGGTGATGAACACCTCCTTTGACCCGTTGCGCATCGTCAACACCTACGGAGCTTTTGGCAGGTAACATGAGAACTTTGGTTTGAGTAACTTTGGGATATCTGCAGATCTGTTCTATGAAAGAAAAAAGGCTACACTGGTACAGGATTGATGCTTTATTAGTCTTTATTAGTATCGGGGATGAAAGGTGTTCTAATAAATAAAACCTCCCCAGACATTTCTCGTTTTGTCCTCTGAGCAGCATCACTAAGGAGCGGACCGAGGTGATTTTCCAGGGAACTCTGAGCCCGGATCCCAAGGACCCTGGGGCAGTTTGGGAGGAGTACCAGTTCAGGTGTAAACCAGGAGAGGTTTCCAGACGACCATGCCTCATCTCACCGTACCACTACAGGCTGGACTGGCTCATGTGGTTTGCTGCCTTCCAGGTTCGAGCAGATTTAACCCAACAGCTTGTTTATCACTAATGTTTTTGTTTTTCTGTTCACATCTTTTCTGCATTTGTTTGCTTTCTGTAGCTCTAATAGTTCCTAAACTCTGTGTTCATTCAGACGTACGAGCAGAGCGAGTGGGTGATCCATATAGCAGGACGACTCCTATCCAACGACAGCACCGTGCTCTCACTGCTGGATCATAACCCCTTCCAGGGCAGAGACCCCCCCAAGTAAAGAGGGATCTCTTAACCACACCTTCATGTTTAGCTGCCCCCCTGGTCTGGATTTCTGTCCCACAGCTGCCTCTGGTGGAGGATTAGTGTAACAGCTACAGCTCTGGGGTTTTATATCGTTTTGATGTCGGAAGACTGAAAGACAGTTTTAGTGAAGAGAAAGATGTTTGTTTACCAGTTTAAAGACTAAAATAGAAATGTGGAAAAATAATTTTCTAACTAATAGACTTAAATTACTACAAGATAAGGTCATAATCATAGCCTGTGTCAGTTGGGTTGTGGGTAGTGATGCACCGATATGACATTTTTGGGCCGATACCGATATTAAGATCACTGTTTTGGTCGATAACAGATATTTGCCGGTACCGATATAATCACATTAAGGCTTCTAAAATCAGCAGATTTTGTATAGAATGAAAATTATGAAAGCTGGATTTACGTTATTATGTACACACAACACACACATTTACAGTTCTGAGATGATTTCACTGTGGCATGACTAAACAAATACACGTCACACCCCCCCCCCCCCCCCCCCCCCGAAACAGGCAAATGGAGGCGAGATGGAAAAAATATCGTTTGTTAATGTCGGCCCAGTTTTTATCGAACCGATACCGATATGTTTAAAAAATGACTAACATCGGCCAGTACCGATACTGATGCCGATATATTACCCATTCCTAGTTGTGGGGAGCTGGTCATCAGGTGAGAGGCAGAGGACACCCTGAACACGTCTCCAGTCTGTTCGATTGGCCCCAGAAGAAACTCACTGTTACTAAATATTATATAAAGTAACATATATAAAGAGTAAAAACCAGTTGGTCTGACCTGACTGGGATGTAAAGTAATAAGGAACAGAATAGAGTTCTACAACCCCCAAAGGCACTTTACCACACAAGTCATTTCCGATTCACACACACTGGTGGTGATATAGCCACAGCTGCCCTTGGGCGATGCTGCTGGACACAGGTGCCACCAACCTCTCTGACCACCAGCAGACCCGGAGGGGGAGGTGTTTTGCCCATGGACACAATGACTGTGACTGAAGCTTGGTTTATGCTTGACGCGTCCGCGAGGTCCGCACGGCCCCTCCACCGCGCCTCCACACGGCCCAAACTTTCTGCACCGCGCACCTAGGAAATTTTCTAACCATGCGGACAGTCGGACGCGGAAAAACATGGCGGACCGGCAAGAACTAGTATGGCAGAGGTTTGTAAATACAGACATTTGTATGATTCAGCTCTCAGAGATCACCGTGATCAACATGTTGTTAATAATTCTTGGAGAGAAATAGCTCGCACTGTCGGAAAAGACGAGGACGCTGTTAAAAATGCTGGAATGCCATGTTGTAAACAGTAATTTTTACTTCTACTATGGTGTAGAGTTGGATGCATGCCGTAGAGCTCCATGCTGCCCCCTACAGTTTGGGAGAATATTGGCTCACCGCAGAGACAAGCTGCATGAACCATAAACGCTGCAAGTTGTGAAGCGCGTTCCATCCGCGAGCCGCATCACCAAGCGGAAAGTGAATGCGTCAAGCATAAACCAAGTTTCAGTGGGATGCAAATCTGCAATTCTCTGGTTACTTAACTGTTCCACCACTATTGCCCATCACTTTAACTTTATTCTAAAAGGATATGTATTTTTTCTTGAGAGGCCCTAATACGTAATTGTAGCAGTATCATTATTTTCCTTCTCTTCACCCCAGCTTTTCTTTTTCCTCAGGTGGGTTCGAGGAGAACATTTCATATACAAGTTCAGCCAGCCGGGCAGTGCCAGTGCAGCGCAGGGCCAGTGGTGGCTGAGGAAACGCATCGGAGTTTACTTCCCTGCTGTGGACCTAGAAGGGCTCAGGGGCTACTTTCAGTCCAGAAACTGGCCCCACCCACATATACCGACAAACCGGGACTAAAACCAAACATAAACCCTGTGAGCCAATGTTTTCATAAAGAACTCTTCAATAAACTCATCTCTGACCATGCCTCTGCGGTGCAGTCCAGATTTGTTTCCATGCATCAGCGCTCATGTGAGCTTTTGTAGCAGCTTACATTCATGCTCTTATTTTGATGGGCCGCAATGCAACACTCCTGTTTATTTTGTCTGAAGAGGAGAATTGAAGGCTCCATCCATTCATCCATCCATCCATCCATCCATTTTCAGCCACTTATCTGGAGTCGGGTCACGGGGGCAGCAGCCTAAGCCGAGGCACCTAGGCTTCCCTCTCCCCAGCTACTTGGGCCATCTCCTACGGGGAAATGTTCCCTGGCCATCCGAGAGATATAGTCCCTCCAGTGTGTCCTGGGTCTTCCTTTGGGTTTCCTCTCAGTTGGACGTGCCCAGAAAACCTCACAAGAGAGGCATCCAGGAGGCATCCTTACCAGATGCCCAAGCCACCTCAACTGGCTCCTCTCGATGTGGAGGAGCAGCGGGTCTACTCCGAGCCCCTCCCGGATGACCGAGCTTCTCACACTATCTCTAAAGCCGGGCGTACACTGTGCGACTTTTTCACTCGTAGCGTTCCGCTTCAGCTCAAACTGTACGACTTCCTCGCAGAGCAGATCTCACGAGTCATGCGCTCACACTGCACGACCCAGTTCTCGGATGCGACCTGACTGCTCACATTGTACGTCTGGTAGCAACACGTCGGCCCTAAAAATATGCTAAAAATAGCAGTTTTTACTCAACACGTCAAACTTTTTGTCTTGTTTTGCCTGTTGTCCTTCGGGAGTGCTGCAGGAGGACACACAGGGATTTATGGGGGTTGGATGAGTTAAACGAAATAAAAAAAGTAAATCTGTGTTTAGTGATCAGTTTAATTTGACATGATCACGACAAACACGCTTTCTTGACAATCTTTGTCAATGTGTGTAAAAAAGACGTGTAGAAACAAAAACGAACAGCGTGTGTTATTAGGGAAAAGCGAGCGAGCGGCGTTGATGCAGGATTGCGCATGCGCCGTGAGCGGTTCTGATACATTTTGGGTTGCAGCTGCTCGCAGCGCCGCTTCAACAGTGCGATACCCTCACGAGGGACGAGCGAAATATTAAACACGCCAGAAGTCCGTGCGACCTCACGACTGCTGATCGGCAGCTGGTCACGTGGTGTTAATCGCCTCTCGTAACCCCCTGTACACTACACGACCGCTCGGCGCAAAACTCGCCCCGATGTCGTGGATTCTCGCACGACTGGAAAATCGGCTCAAAAAAGTTAAAAAGTCGCACAGTGTACGCCCGGCTTAAGGGAGAGCCCAGCCACTCTGGAGAAAACTCATTTCGGCCGCTTGTTTCCGTGACCTCGTTCTTTCGGTCACTACCCAAAGCTCATGACCATAGGTAAGGGTAGGAACGTAGATCGACCAATAAATTGAGAGCTTTGCCTTCTGACTCAGCTCTCTCTTCACCATGACAGAGCGGTACAACGCCCGCATCACTGCAGATGCAGCACCAATCCGCCTATCGATCTCACGCTCCATCTTTCCCTCACTCGTGAACAAGACCCCGAGATACTTAAACTCCTCCGCTTGGGGCAGGACCTCATCCCTGACCCAGAGAAGGCATTCTACCCTTTTCCAAATCAAGATCATGGTATCGGATTTAGAGGAGCTGATTCTCATCCCAGCCGCTTCACACTCGGCCGCGAACCGCTCCAGCGAAAGCCGGAGATCGTGTTCTGATGGAGCAAACAGGACCACATCATCTGCAAAAAGCAGAGACCTGATCCTCAGGCCACCTAAAACAGATGCCCTCCACACCTTGGCTGTTGCTTGAAATCCTGTCCATAAAGGTTATGAACAGAATCAGTGACAACAGGCAGCCTTGGTAGAATCTAACTCACCAGAAACGAGCCCGACGTTCTGCTGGCAATGCAGGCTAAGCTCTGACACCGGTCATACAGGGACCTAACACCCCGCATCAGATGGTCTGGTACCCCATACTCCCAGGGTATCCCCCACAGCGCATCCCCCCACCCCCACCCCCCAACCCCCAAGGGACGTGGTCAAACACCTTCTGCAAATCTAAAAAACACATGTAGATTGGTTGGGTGAACTCCCACGCACCCTCCAGGACCAGAGCTGGTCCAGTGTTCTACGGCCTGGACGAAAACCGCAGTGTTCCTCCTGAATCTGAGACTCGACAATCCAATTGACCCCCCTGTCCTAAACCCCTGACTAGACGTTACCTGGGAGGCTTAGGAGTGTGATCCCCCTGTAGTTGGAACACACCCTGGGTTTTTAATTTACTATTTAATAGCAGTTCCACTGGATTGGCTCAGTGAGTCGTCGTGTTAAATAATCTTCATCCCTTTATCCTGATGGGACAGAAACCAGACCTCCATGACCCTGAGCAGGACAGACTTTAGATCTAAAGGCCAAGTATTTCATCAAAATGACCAGAAGTTAATTTTTAACTCTATGGCCGAACCGCTTCATACAGTTCACCCTGATGCCGATATGAAGAAATGAACTTGAGCCAATATTCTTAACACATCCTACGTGTGTCATGAGCCGTCCAGGCTGCAAGACACAGGACTTCTTACCCTTTACTCTCTGAATAAGGTCTATCTTCCCTGGCTCACATGGGACTTTAAACCCTGTTGAATGAACAATTTGTTTTAAATCCAAAGTGTTTGAATAATGTGCCCTATACTTTACATTGTGGGTTAAAATGAATATTTTTCCTGTATTGATTCATTTCAGATCTTAAATGACACCAGATTAGTGTTTGTTGATCTTAATGCTATCAGTATATTCACACCTCGTAATATTAATATTAAAACATCCATGCTTTACACAATCTGTTTAACATTTTCACTTCACACTAAAAAATAACCTCTCTTAAGAATCTGAGGGAGGGAGGGATCTGAGGTGATTTGGTAATGCCTCTTTAAACTTGTCAAATTCTGATTTGTCTAAATTTGTCAACAACGGTTGATAAAAGCAGATCACTTCCTGATCCCTCAGTTCTCCGCCACCTCCCAGATCGACTGAGTGAGCAAGCACTTAGAACCATCCTCTCTTTGACCAAGGTCAGAGCCTCTCTGCAATGCTTGCGAGTGATATCAGACACTACAGCTCCTCAGACTTGGAACGTCAAACTTGCAGGCCCTGGTTGCATCTCATGGCCGGTGAAATCTGAATTCAAAGGGAGCTACGACTCTGAGATTCCTGTAGCCACAACATCTGGTATACTCACCACTCCTGGCTGCTTTTCCTCCGGTCCACCGAGAGCGACTTACACAAGGGTAACTTAGACTCTGCACAATGGGGTCGGATGGTTTTCTGAATAATCTCTAGCTTATTAAACCACACAGTCAGGCAGATTTTACAACCCAGACATCACGTCTCTCAGATACTTAATAAGGTTTTGCTACAAACATCTAGCTTACTTTCCACAATTTCAAACATAATTTCATTCATACTTTGTCATGCATAATCATTAGTTTAGAAAGATAGTTAAATTCAGTTTTATAACTATATCCTTGACTGACTGAATGAATATGAAGTGTGTGTTCCCTGAATAGTCAAAGAGCCTAAAGGTAATATTAAATCAAATATTCAAAGACCAATCAGATTGATCATTCATATTCATATAAAATATCACATCTTATTGATCATTTAATTTAATATGTAGCCACATCTAAAACACTACAACAGTGAGTCAGCGCTTTAGGTGTGTGAAGTAAAAAGTTATAGATTTCAATAAAAATAAAATAGTTGGGTTGACTCAATAGGCTGTGCAGTGGTTAGAGCTGTTGCCTTGCAGCGAGAAGGTCCTGGGGTCGCTTCCTGGCCTGGGATTTTTCTGCATGGAGTTTGCATGTTCTCCCTGTGCATGCGTGGGTTCTCTCCAGCTTCCTCCCACAGTCCAAAATCATGACTTTTAGGTTGATTGGTCTGTCTAAATTGTCCTTAGGTGTGTGTGTGTGTGTGTGTGCATGACTGTCCCGTGTGTCTCTGTGTTGCCCAGCGATGGACTGGCTCTCTGTCCAGGGTGCACCCCGCCAACTTGCCCGGTGACTGCTGGAGATAAGCACTAGCCACCCCCCCCCAGCCCCCCCCCACCCCCACCCCCCCCCGACCCCGCATGGACAAAGCAGGTTCAGAAAATGGATGGATGGGTTGACTCAATAAAACATTTGCAGAACATCCAGTGTTAAACTCACTAAACCACAGCTCGGTGTGTCCGATAAGGTTGTTGGGTCAACTATAAAATGTTGATGCAGTGAAATAGTTTTCAGAACTTTTACATTTTTGACTTGATATAAAAAAATGAATTGTCGGTCTATTTTATTAATTGTTAAATGATTAATTTTGTTTATCAAACATCTGAATTTCAGTTACACTTGTGTGTTTTCTTCATAGCCCTAACGGCATAAGAGCAAAGTCATTACCTGTGTAAATTATTAATAAAAGAATATAGAGATCAGGTGAATTGACCAAATAAAGTTATTAGAACAAATGGGTGTGATAAATACACAGACACCACTAGATGGTGCTGTTCTCCAGCTCATTGATGCTTCCTGACCCAGCTGACATGTGGTGGTCGAGTGCTGCCTGCTGATGGATTTATAGATGCGTTTATGTCTTGTTTTATGAACTAAAGGTTAATCATTAATGTCAGACAACAAGTCTTCTGTTTGGGTTAAACTAATCAGCACTAATCCAAAAATCCAGATCCAGTGTGCAGCTCAATAAACCACAGCAGGGATCCCAGCAGGGATCAGAGGCAACACTACCAGTAGCAGTAGTGTACTTTTGTCCATATAAAACATCTGGTACATCATTTCTGTCTCCCCTGCATTTTACATTAACATTCTCAGCAGATGCAATTTTTTATATTGGAGTCCCTTCTTTCTGTCAGCTGATTGTGGTTGTGGTTATTTGGTACATTATCGCTTTTGTGGATAATATTGACCTCATATTGTTGGAGAGTTGCAGCAAACCACAAACGCAGAACTTGGTCCAGTTTCTTCACATGTGGT